GGACCATATTTAGGGACATTTCGGACCAGATTTTTGGACATTTCGGACCATGTGTTGGACATTTGGGATCATGTGTTAGACACTTCGGACCATTATTTTGGACGTTTCGGACCAGAATAAATATTTTTTTTATATGTTATGCATCAATTATTCTATAAACTAAAGTGTAACTTTAGAATATATGAGACACCATGGAACGATTTTACACCTATCCCGATTTAGATTTAATATATTTTGCACTATAAATGAAGAATTAAAAAAAAAACAAACAACGTTTTAATATATGACACGTTTGCAAAAAAAATATTATAAAGTATATACAAAAAGACATTTTTATATTGCAGTCTGGACATCAATTTTTTTTACAATTATAATCAGTTTGTTTATTGTTAATTAAAACTGTACTTTAATCGCATTCCAATCAAATCCAATCAATTTAAATATTTGTTGTCAAATTAGGTGAAAATTGCATACATATGCTTCTTTAATTGAGTGAAACGTAACTTAAACGAGTTCTATTCAGCAATTAAAACGTGTGAAAAACTGCATTGACAAGGATGTCGTTGTTCTTTAATACCTGCTAGAACACGATTTAATTTGGTTAAAATTGACTTTAAATAGGTATATTCTGCGTGTGTATGTGTGTGTACTTATTGTACATATTATCAAATAGTTGATTAAACAGGTACGTATATCAATTTCAATTCGTTTAGATAAATTAAACATAGCGTATCATTATCTCTTTATTTTGTATGAAGGACATTCCCAAAAATATATCCTACGCTTACCAATATAGTTCAAAAGGTATTCTATTATTGTTTTGTTTTTTTAAAATTCAATATTAAAAAATTGTCAAAGTTCTAAAGGTATTCTTTTATTGTTTTTTTTTTTAAATTCAATATTAAAAAATTGTCAATTGGTAATATAAGCTTGTCAGAAAATGTGAAAATCTCGTCGGACAGGTCATTACTGCATGCATTTTGAATATCATAAAATATAACAATGTCAAATATTTGTTGCATTTATTATTAGAAAATATATTAAATACATCCTGAAACAACAAATAATTACATATAAAAAGGAATATATGTGCTGGTCCGAAGTGTCTCCATCATGGTCCGAAATGTCATCACATGGTCCGAAATGTCCCAAAATTCGGTCCGAAATGACCAATAAATCTGGTCCGAAGTGTCTGGTCCGAAACGTCCGTGGTCCGAAATGTCCGTAATTCATCTATTTTTGCGCTGTGGGGTAATTAAGTCGTAGTATTGTTGTATATACAGCAGGGTATGCACTTCCATTTTGCATAATTCATTGAATTATTGGAAGGGACAATTACCACTGACGCCGTGGTTGAAAACAGATTTGACGGTTTGTTTTGTCATCTTCATGTACTTTGCCGAATAGGCGATCATGAACCTACTTGGCATTTTAAATTTAAAAAAAAAAACACAAAAAAACAACAACAACAAAAATAAAACTGTTCAATATTTTCCTAACATGCAAGACTTTTCTATGATTTCCTTTTTTGAATTAATTATAATGACAAACTGTCCGTGGTTTGCCCTTGCGCAATCTCCTGTTTTTTGTTTGGTGTCCTTCTTGGCGCCTTGCCGGTGGTTCTTTGTTGCCGGGTTGTGTTGGGGGATATATACGTACAATGAATGCCGCCTTTCCTTGTTGATAGATGTTTTCATATTGTAACTTTTGAAAAGTTGTTGGACCTTTTTCTCAGGAGTTGTATTTGATCCACCTGGAACATTTTATTTCTTTTCCTAATTTGACGCCCGCTCTTGTAGGTGATTGAGGGCTATTTGGATTTGGAACCTGTTCTTAAGTACATGGGAATGAGCAGGTTAATATATTCAAACGGCAGCCTTTTTAAATACTATACATAGGCCATCAACTTTCACGCATGCGCACTTACACGCACGCACACACGCACAAATTCATCTGATTCTCATGCTAAATTCGAATGCGTTTTAAGAAAGTTACAAGAAAATGCTTAAAGATTAAGCAATAGACGTAACAACATTAATTACATAAGAATTCTTTTTGTGTCACTTTGGCATATCACCCCCATTACCATAGTTGACAAAAGAGGAGCTTAACAAAGTCATATTCGAGTGGCTAATTTAATAATAAATGTTCAATACAATTCAACATATATAGACAGACGACGTCCCTCGTTGTCTCTTGTTTTGTTTTTCCCCTTTGGTCAAGTTCTCTTGTTGCACTGTAAAATATTATTCGAAAGTCAATGACTTTGAAATTTTGAATTTATTTTAATTTTGCAAATTAAATTCATTGCATTCTTTTAAATTGTATTACATTACATGTTTTTATTTACTAGAACGGTTGTCTTCACGGGGATATGATCCTGAGTGTCTCTATCTGTTTTTTTGTTGTTGTTTTGGTTTTATTTATTTTTCATGCTGTTGTTCGTCGTAGACCTTCTCTAGGACCCATCTCTTCGCTTCTTAAACAATGGTTGACAATAGAGGAAAGGCACCTCTTTCGGGAGCAGCAGCTTTCTTTAGGGCCACACCCCTCGCCGTTGGTTAGGTTACACCAGCTAAGTGACCTAACTAGGTCACCCATCTGGTGTGACCTATGCCTTCCGAGCGACGTGCACGCCGCGAAGGGAAGTCGGAAGAAATCTGTTTTACCTTTGTCATTCTTTTTGTATTACTATTAACTGCAGTTGGAACATCTCGGCTATTATCAATAATATCTCCGAAGTTTGGACGGAAAGGGCCGAGAATGTGATTGCATTTACCTTTTGAAAAGATCATGTAACACAAATTTGTTATGGTTTTATATCATAAATATGATGCTCAAATTAATATTTATCAATATTGTAAGTCTCAAAAAGCATTATTTATAAAGATATTATCGAATTAACATTTCATGTTCATAAAGGGATGTTATTAGAAATTTATTTTCTATAAAGTCTAAGTCTAAATTTTTCAATAAGAAATTAGTTCATATATTTTAATGATTATATATAATATGCAAAAATAATTGCAGTACATATTTTATATATTCTTCGATGTTTGAAAATTGTTTTATAAGCTTGATCATATACATATACAAATTTCACTTAAGTGTGGTAACAACATTAAACCTTAATTATAACATACAGGATCTTTAAGGCATTTTCTTAAATACCATTGTCAACTCTATCTACAATTTGCCTGGTGATTTCAATGGCCGTATCTTTATCAGATTTGGTTCATTGTCAACTTTATTTTGGAGTACAGTCTCTAATTTTATGCATTGTTATCAACCATATCTTGATATGTTTTGTATCATTGTCGTTTTTTGATGTTTTTTATAACGCTCTCATTTTCCTCTGTTTTGCGCAGCTCTTTTGCATGATATCATGTGTACCACGGTTTTTATTTATTTATTTGGTATCTTGTAACAGTTTTAAAAAATACTCATTTGCCACATAGATAAACTTTTTATTTTTTTGGGTCGTCAGACCAAACAAATAATGGTAGCGAAATTTCAGAGCCTAATGCTGTTAATTGCAAATGCCTAAAGTAGTCCACTCTTTTGAAGCGGTTACTTCCCTTTAAATGTACACTAACGCCGAAAAATTCAGGGGAGATCACTGCGTAAAGATTGTCAAATGGCAGGCGCATTAATTATCAAGCAAAGTAGTTACCGAATGGTCGAAGATTTCTAATATTGTTTCATTCTTTATAGATAAACATGCTTACAGTAAGCTCCATGATTATTTACATCTGTGTTTAGCGTCGAAATAATAAGAGTTACAAACCTTAACTTAGAATAATTATGGTTTTCTTCAGGAAGTGAAGATATAACTTCACCGTGGCCGAGGGGTTTGCACGCTCGCTTATGAATCGAGATGTCTCGAGTTCAAGTCCCAGTTGAGGCAACTAATTTTTTTTTAAGTCAAATAAACGTTGAATTGACTATGAGTGTTTCAATTAGTCTTATAGCCAATTTACTACAGTTAAAACACTGGAAAGCATTGGTGGCACTATACAAAAACAAATTGGTTTATAATATCACAACCTTCACCTTTCTGACATTCTGAGACCCAAACAAATTCAGCGCCTTCTGTGCTTTAATTTCTATTGGTATAATCATAGTTAATTAGAACTTGTATGGAAGTCAAATACTACTTTGTTTACATTTTGCTACCTTTGTGAAACATTATATTCACGTTCAGCGCTACTTCAGTTGTAAAACATCTTACATGCTCTAAATCTGTTTCGAAATATTATTTTAATAATACTATTTTTGATCGTCTCTATTTGTCAACTTTAAATATCTGATTTGCATTACAGTCATATTTCTCTTTTATGTCTTGTATCATTGTAAACACGGTTTGCATCATTGTCAACACAGTTTGTATCATTGTCAACTCGGTTTGTATCATTGTCAACACGGTTTGTACCTTTGTCAACACGGTTAATGTCATTGTAAACATGGTTTATATCATTGTCAACACGATTTGTATCATTGTCAACACGGTTTGTATCATTGTCAACACGGTTTGTATCTTTGTCGACACGGTTTATGTTATTGTAAACATGGTTAATATCATTGTCGACACGGTTTGTATCATTGTTAACACGGTTTGTATAATTTCAAACACGGTTTGTATCATTGTCAACACGGTTTGTATCATTATCAACACGGTTTGTATCATTGTCTACACGGTTTATATCATTGTCAACATCGTTTATGTCATTGTCAACACGGTTTATATCATTGTAAACATGGTTTATATCATTGTCAACATGGTTTGTATCATTGTCAAAACGGTTTGTATCATTGTCTACACGGTTTATATCATTGTCTACATGGTTTATATCATTGTCAACACGGTTTATATCATTGTCAACATGGTTTGTATCATTGTCAAAACGGTTTATATCATTGTAAACATGGTTTGTATCATTGTCAACACGGTTTATATCATTGTCAACATGGTTTATATCATTGTCAACACGGTTTATATTGTCGTATAGCTGGTTGCACAGGCTAATGAGTCATACACGCTATATTCAAAAAGAATGACAAGTCAACATGTATATACATATATTAAGGTTTTTATTTCATATGTGCACTATGGAACATGACTTTGATTTATGAATATTATAGTGCAGGATGTACATGCGGACTGATCTTATGTCAAAATGATTAATATATGTAACTCTAAAACGTGTGTATTTATATACATTATAAAATGTCCTTAGGACAGGTTGATATTGTATATACTATTCTCAAATGCCAAAAGAGGAGTTCGGCTTTGGTATTCCACTCGTTCACTTGTGTGTTTGTATTTGTATATTAAAAGTATGTAACATCTGTGAGTTCTTTCTCCGTTATACGATAACGGTTGGTTTGGCGCCTAAGACCAGCGATGTCGAAGCGACGATTTTGGACAGCGGGACACAACGAAGTACCTGAAACAGAAAATTAAAGGTGAGTGATCGTTTATATACCTGTAATTTGCTAATTTTGAAGATGTCAGATCAAGAAATAGCTACAATTTTTGAAAATTTGTCAGATAAATTGAACAATATTTCAACTGTCATAGGTACACAGGGTTTATCAGAAATAGTACAAAATTTTGATGGAAATTCTAAATATTTTAATGACTGGATAAAATCTATAGAAAAATATGCTGTTTTAAAAGGTTTGGATGATAATAAAATAAAATTAGTCGCATTTCAATCAAGTAAAGGGACTGTAAGCGATTTTATATGTAGATATTTGCGTGATAATCCTCGTAATTCGTGGAAACAATTAAAAGAAGAAATAAGTACTAGATTTGGGGAAATTAAAGATTTACATCATGAATTTTATCTTTTGAGAAATTTAAAACAAGATTTGGGAGAAAGTGTTCAAATTTTTGGGGAAAAATTTATTAATTGTGCTGAAACCGCTTATGAAAATTATAAACTAGGAGATAATAGTTTAATTGAACTTCAGTTAGTAGAATTGTTTACGGATAATTTAGCGCATAATTATTTAAAACTTAAACTTATGAGAGAAAAGCCAAAAACTTTACAAGAAGCAATTACGTGCGCAATGAATGAACAGAATTTCAGAGCTAGATTTTCTGCCAGAGTAAAATTTTCTAATTCTCAAAATCACGCAAAATACATGAATTACAAAGCAAATAATTTTAATCATTATTATACAAGAAATTTTTGCGTGTACTGTAAGAGACCAGGTCACCATGTGCGTAGTTGTAGATTTAGGAAAAATGAAATATATTCTGTATTTCACCGACAAAATTTTTCACGATTTAGGAAAAATAATAGCAATAATAGTTTGAAATCAAAGATTAAGTGCTGGAAATGTAATAATTTTGGTCATATTATGCGTGAATGTCGTAAACAAAATTTTTACGACAGAAACAAAATAAATTTTCAGGAAAACTAGCAAGTTCCTGTCACAAAGGGGTCATTGACAGGAACGATAAAATACCAAAATTTAGTATAGCATTAGCTGGAAGCCCTAATTCGTGTTTGATTAAAATAGAAAACTATAAATACAGATCGTTAGTAGATTCAGGTGCTGAAGTTTGTCTTCTGCATCGCAGAATATATAGAAAATTGAAGAATCCCCCTCAACTTATAAAACAGAAAATAAATTTATGTTCAGTTGACGGAAATTATTTACATATAGATGGTTATATAAATCTAAATTTTCAAATAGGGAAAACAGAAACAACTCAAAAATTCTATGTTGTTTCTAAAATGAATAGAAATATTATTTTAGGCCGTGATTGGTTAACACAAAATGGCGTTAGATTATATTTTGATTTAGGCTGCTTAAGAGTTAATAATACATATGTACCCCTCGAAGAAGATATTCATATTGCATCAATTGTTAGATTAAAACAGGATGTTATTCTGAAACCTCAAACAGTTAATGTGTGCACTGCTAAGTTAAAACAAAATCCAGGCTTGGAAAATGATAAATTATATGAATTAAAAAGTATAGAAACTGGAATGATTGCTTCTGAACCAGGTCTTATGATAACAAATTCTGTTATGAAACTTTCGGCTGATAGAAGATTTCCTATTATGATTGTCAACAATACGCATAAAACTATAAGATTAAAACGAGATTCAGTAGTTGCTAAAGTTTCAGAAGTTGAGAGCATTAACTCGGTTACAGAGGCTCTTCAAACAACTTCCCCTCTTAACAACGATTTCGAACGTGATATTCATACACCTTCAGAGCATTTTAATATTGTTAGAGACTTATTAAGGAAAAATAGAAATATTTTCGCAAATAAAGATTCTGAATTATCACAGACAGATACTGTAACCATGAAAATACCAACAGGTAATCATCCTCCAATCAAATTAAGCCCATATCGCACACCTTTAAACAATAGAAAATTTATGAGTGACGCAATCGATGAGATGTTAGATGCTAATATTATAAGAAGAAGTCATAGCCCTTATTCATTTCCTGTTGTTATTGTCGGGAAACGTGACGGCAGTAAACGGTTTTGTGTTGATTTTAGACAATTGAATAAAATTACAAAGCCAACATCATATCCTCTCCCATTAATTGACGATATTTTAACACTACTAGGGTCTTCAAAATATTTTACAACACTAGACATGCGCTCAGGGTTTTGGCAAATACCCGTGCATGAATCAGACAAGGAAAAAACGGCTTTTACGACATTCCGAGGCTTGTTCGAGTTCAACGTAACACCTTTTGGCCTAGTTTCTGCCCCTGGAGTTTTCCAAGAACTCATGTCACATGTCTTACAAGGTTTAGAGGCATTTGCTGTCAGTTATCTTGACGACATTCTAATATTTTCGAAGTCATTAAATGAACATTTATCACATATACAGACAGTATTTTCAAAGCTTAAAGAGCATAAATTAAAACTTAAACTGAAAAAGTGCAGTTTTATTCAGCAACAAACAAAGTACCTTGGTTTTATAATTGATCATGAAGGTATAAAACCAGACCCAGAAAAAGTAAAAGCTATTAGGTCACTTCCGGTACCAAAATGTGTTAAAGATGTCAGATCTTTACTTGGTGCTGCTGGTTTTTATAGAAGATTTTGCCCTAAATATTCTAAAATTGTTGAACCTCTAATCAATCTTACAAGAAAACGTGTTTTGTTTAAATGGACAAAAGAATGTCAAGAAAGTTTTGAACAATTAAAGAAAATGTTAACACGTATTCCACTTTTAGCATTCCCAGACCCAAATAAGCCTTATATTCTATACACGGACTCCTCAGATTTAGTGGTCGGAGCATGTTTAAGTCAGAAATGTGACAAATCTGGTATTGAAAAACCTATATACTTCTTATCTCATAAATTAAGTGAATCTCAAAGAAAGTACAGTACCATAGAAAAAGAAGCATTCAGTATTCATTATGCGTTACAAAAATTAGATGTTTATTTACATAATGCAGAGTTTACTATATTTACAGACCATAAACCTTTAAAATATCTTCTAGAAGCACCTATGCAAAACAAAAGAATTCAGCTTTGGGCTTTAAATATTTCTGCCTATAACTGTAAAATTGAATATTTGCCAGGAAAATTAAATTTAATTGCCGATTTCTTTTCTAGACCTCCAGCTGATGATAAAAATGCTAACAAGTCCGATATTGAACTTTATGAGCCTGATATAAATGACAATGCCTTCGAAATAACAGTCTCAAATTCAAGTAATAATTCAAATAATGATAATGTACATGCTGTGAAAACTGATGAAAGCTATGAAGTAAATGCTTTTGATTCTACGCACTTTAATGCCAAAGAAATAGCAAACAAAGAATACCAATTTCAAGAGCCAATTGTAGAAGATATTAAACAATTCGAAAAATTAAATATGGCCTCAGAGCAAGATAAAGATCAAACTATTCTTGAACTGAAAATGTTACTACGTCACGGACAGCCAACTAAATCAGTGCAGAGCAAATATTTAGAAATTGACCAAGTTCTTTATTATCTGTCTAATGTAGATGATAATCCTAATCTTAGATTGTTTGTTCCGCAACACTTAAAACACCTTGTCATTACTCAATATCATTTAAATAATGGTCACCCGGGAACACAGAGGTTATTTACAACAATAAAACAAAAATATTTTTGGCCAAATATGTTCAAAGAATTGTATGAATATGTTTCTAAATGTGTTGATTGTCAGTCACGTAATCTTACAAAAATAAAAGCACCTATGGGCGAAACAAGAGTACCAATGTATTCATTCCAGACCATGAGTATCGACGTTATAGGGCCCTATGAGAAAACAATGAGTGGTAACCGCTACATTATTTGTTTTATTGACCTTTACAGTGGTTATCCCGAGTGTTTCCCTACTGCTGACAAAAGTACTGATACAATTATACATTTACTATTAGAAGAAATTTACCCTAGATACGCATGTCCATTACAAATTGTCACTGACAATGGATCAGAATTTACAAGTAATGCTTTTAAAGAAACACTTAAAGAGTTAAAAATTGATCACGTGCGTACAACTACCTATCATGCTGCCGGAAACGCGAAAAATGAACGTTCTCACCATGTCATACATGATATCTTAGCTAAAAGAATCCAGGGAAATCTCAAACAATGGGATATTCATCTTAACATGACACTAGCCGCACTTAGATTCAATGTCTCTAGGACTTCAAAGCATAGTCCATTTTATTTGTTATATAACCGTGAGGCCATATTACCGGTGGACCTGTTGCTACAACCAAGGCAGCGCTATCATGGCGAAGAGTATCACAAAATTGCATTACAAGAACAACATAATACTTTTCTATCTGTTTATAAGAACCTTAAAAAAGCAAAACGCGAACAAGCTAGCTATGCAGATAAGACCGCAAAAGATATCAAATTTGAAATAGGCGATCCCGTATTCTATAAGAATTTTCGTAAGAGAAGCAAACTAGATGTGAATTGGAAGCCATTTTATAGAATTATGGAGAAAAGGTCACCATTAACTTATATAATAAAAAATCAGTTTGACAATTCAACAGTTAAAGTCCATGCAGAACAAATTAGGCTCGCAAATATTAATGACTGGTCAATACCAAAAGCAGATAATACTGGCAGACCAAAAAGAAATGCCACATTTGTAGTTACACCTGAAAATAGCGATACTGATGATGCTTCAGAAATACCAGAATCAGTATTACCCCAAGTTGCTAAGAATGTTAGAAAAGAAAGGTCAAATTCTGATAGTGAAGATGATATTCCATTAGCCGAATTACAGAAACATCTTCGACAACAACAACAAATTTCAAATAATGAAAATGCTCAAAGTAATGCACATTCAGAAGAAATGCAATCGCAGACTGATTCAGAATTATCAGACTCAAATTCCATACAAGTAAATAGCAATCCTCAGTCACAAGCAGCATATAATGCTATTCAGTCAGATTCAATGGCTGATGATAATGATTCAGATAATGAAATGTTTATAAACTCTATTTCTAGTAAAAAGAAAAGTATTGTAAAACCTCGATATAAAGTATCTGGTAAGGTAAACACAAAGTTACAAAGTAAAGATAAAGGGTCGAAATCAAGTTTTAAAATGATTTTACAAGGATTAGCTGAATTGTTATAGAACGTTATATTCCGTGTTATATGCTATACTAATTTTCGGTAAATTGACCTCAGGCATTGTAAATAGTAATTATGGAAAGAAGAAAATATATATGTTAAAAGAAAACAATATAAAACAAAACAGAAAATTACATTATTTAACCATATATCTTTATATTTTTGGTGGTTGTATTCATTTATATTAATTTTCAAGTTCTTTTTATTAGAACTATATATCTTAGATTTTTTTTATTATTGCTTAAAATGATCGTTATTCGCTATATGTTTATTAATAGATCGGTTAATTAAAATGCATTTCAAAGTAAATGACAGCACTTAATCATGAGTTTCAAATTGATTATTTACTTTATTTCATATTAGAATAACATGTGTATACATACATGTTTCAACTGTCAACGCACAATCATTAAATAAAGTTTAAATTGGGATAAGTCTTATTGTCGAAATAAACTAAAGTTAATAGCTTAGTTAAAACTAACAAAATATGTCTAAAAATTCAATATGAAAAGTAAAAATTTAAATATCAAGTATTACATAAATAAGATACTTACACTAGAGAACATCTTTCATTGGAATTCTTATCCTATGCATTTTATGACAGTTGTCTTGTTGTTCATATATCTGAAACAAAATTATGTTTATTGTATATAATATCTATTAACCGATCTGACAACGGACGAAAATGCAAAATATTGGTCTAACGATCACTTGTCGTCCAGCCAAGACAGAGAGGTGCGAGCGAATTCGCCGGTACAGTAAAACACCGCCTGACTAGAAATATTACAGTCAGCCTCTACGATGCCAACAGTCTACGATGTAAAACCATGCAGATGTAACCATAAACACCTTCTTCGATGTAAAACCATGCAGATATAACCATAAACACCTTCTTCGATGTAAAATTATATGAAATAAGCGTCTACGATGTTTAAAATACATAACTATGCTGTTACAGCCGTCAACAACAACAACAACAACAACAAAATTGTGGAATCAAATAAACTTTTGTTCCTGTCTTCAACCAGAGAAGCCGAAAACTTCCGTTTATCAATAGAATGTGTTTTTCTATGTGTTATATAAACTTAAAAACAAAAACCCAGAGAAATACTGATGACAACTTCTTATCAAAATAATTATTTGTGCGCGACAGAGATATCCAAAATAAATATCACATAAACATTTGCGAGAATCGTGCAACAGCAAACTGTTAATTTAATTATCTTTTACTCAAAAACATTGCTACATAAATGAAGAATTATAGATCTATCATCACTTTGTTGTATTGTTCAATACAAGACATTCTTTTTACAACGACGAAACAAGAACAGCGTTTACAGATGTGCCAATAAATATTCGAATATAACTTTATCAACTTGTGTATAAAGTCTACGTTTACACATATCAAATACATATATACAAATTTAAAAGAATCTTCAAGAACATCAAACATTTATGAACAATTATGAGTGTCAATTTAAAATTATTCTTTAGAAAGCTACATACCAACGATTTGAAATTCCCGACACGTCACGAAGACCAAGCCATACTGATGTCAGCAAGTACCTGTTACAAAAAATATACGTGTCACAGGAAGTGTTCAATGCGCATGCACAATACACGTTTTACAGGAAATGAAACACCTGGACATTTTATCAATTATCAATTGTTTATAATATTTTTTAAACTTTTTCGTATATAAATATCTTTTCTACTCTTATCATACATATAATTCTGTTAAATTTTATACCTTAAAGTTTTTCTAATTAATATTCTTAAAATAATTTGTTCTTTGAAAATTGTTAACTTATTTGTTTGTTTTTATGTTTACTAAATCACTAGAAATTAACTTTTTTTTTCTTTTTTTTTATGATGAAATAAAGGAAATTTAATATTTATTGAAAAACTTATAAAGCTATAATATTTACCTTATGTTACTTTAACATATTATTTTTGTATTTTTTTTGCATAAAGATTAATCGAACATTTAACAATAATTATTATTTTACTTATTCAAACTTTTTAAAACTAATATCAAAAGTAAACTTACCTGTGCTACATTGTATCTATCCAAATTTCTCTATTAAAATGAATTCAAACATGAAAAGGTTACACACGATATTCAATTGACCAATCAGAGATGATATGACCTAAGGTGATTTTTTCTTTTAAAAATAAAGTAATAAAAAGTCATTAGATAACATCTCTGACCGGACATCCCTGACCGGATATTACCTAAGGTGATTTTTCTTTTAAAATAAAGTGACAAAAGGTTGATGTATAACATCTTTACCTTAGGGGTAAAACAGATGTCAAGTTGATTTTAGATTGTTAATTAATACCTTGTTTAATACTTTTTTTTAAATTTTTTTTTATAAGTAAAGGAGGAATTGTCGTATAGCTGGTTGCACAGGCTAATGAGTCATACACGCTATATTCAAAAAGAATGACAAGTCAACATGTATATACATATATTAAGGTTTTTATTTCATATGTGCACTATGGAACATGACTTTGATTTATGAATATTATAGTGCAGGATGTACATGCGGACTGATCTTATGTCAAAATGATTAATATATGTAACTCTAAAACGTGTGTATTTATATACATTATAAAATGTCCTTAGGACAGGTTGATATTATATATACTATTCTCAAATGTCAAAAGAGGAGTTCGGCTTTGGTATTCCACTCGTTCACTTGTGTGTTTGTATTTGTATATTAAAAGTATGTAACATCTGTGAGTTCTTTCTCCGTTATACGACAATATCATTGTCAACATGGTTTGTATCATTGTCTACACGGTTTATATCATTGTCAACATCGTTTATGTCATTGTCAAAACGGTTTATATCATTGTAAACATGGTTTATATCATTGTCAACATGGTTTGTATCATTGTCTACACGGTTTATATCATTGTCAACATCGTTTATGTCATTGTCAAAACGGTTTATATCATTGTAAACATGGTTTATATCATTGTCAACATGGTTTGTATCATTGTCAACACGGTTTGTACCATTGTCAACACGGTTTGTATCATTGTCAACACGGTTTGTATAATTTCGAACACGGTGTGCATTATTGTCAACATGGTTTGTATCATTGTCAACACGGTTTATATCAATGTCAGCACGGTTTGCATTATTGTCAACACTGTATCATTGTCAACACGGTTTCTATCATTGTCAACACTGTTTGCATTATTGTCAACACGGTCTGTTTCATTGTTAACACGGTTTTGTATCATTGTTATGGACAGGGTTATTATATCCTTTACTGGAAACACTCATTATATTTATAAAGTTACAAAGAAAAACTGTATCCAGAAAATTGATAATCAATTTGATGAATAACGAGTTATGATCATTTAATGTTACAGTTATTCTACTAACTTTATAGCTCTGAAAGATAATTTGATAATGTTACTAAATACTGTGTTATCTGGCTTATAACAAACCTGAAGCTGACAAGGGAAGTAATCGTGCCTAATAGCAGTACTACTTTAGTAACATTTACTTCCCTTCTGTTATACGCATCTCAGTAATAATCTGAATGAATTTAATTCATGTAAAAGTAAAAAAAAAAGTACAGCTTTTTACGGAGAGTCGGTGGTTCAAACCAGGTGCTGTATTGTGGACATTTGTATCTAAGACAAATCGTGTAACTTTCACTAAAAATTACATAGTGGTCATTATATTTACTACTCCAAACGATATATATTTACATGTACTCGTTAATTTTAGTTACATTCATGTCTGCAAGCAATCAAAGCGCTAAATGAACTGCCGTATTCATTTACGACATTACGTCAATGAACATTATCTGAGATGGTATGCATTGATAGAAGGTTTTTTACCATTATGAAACATGGAAAACCAATCTCCGGGTGTCCTACTGGAACAACAAAAGCTGTAAATGCAGTTTTACAAATTACATTATACGTTACGGAGTACTGTTTTATTTTGATCAATGAAACGGTTTGATGAGACACCAGGGTAATGACCACTAAATTATGTCATCACAGACTTGTACGTACAAGTTAAAATGTTTGTTTCTTATACTTTCTGAGGTGTACCACAATCTCGGAATAGTTCATCGTAATTAATCAGTTTTTAAATCTTTTCAATTTAAAATTACTGTTTCAATTTATTTTTGGCATGTGTTTCAATAATTTGCAAATAAGCCGATCGCAACATTCTACAATTCTTTGGTTAAAGACTATATACTCTTCGCGACGGTTTTTTGCTACATTTCTGTCGGGAAGCAGCCGTTGCAGGGGAATTTATCACTTGGGTGGCTTAGTTGTCGGAGCCATAAATCCGGGAGATATGTCCCACTTGCAGTACTGGGCGTTCAGTGGGCTATTACTTTATGACTGTCCCTGCATGACGGGACTTTTTTTGACCGATACTAATCGTTCGCACTCCGGGTGTGGTGACCGAACTTATTGACCTGTGCATTTCATGCTATGTTTAAATTTATTCGCCATTCAAAATGAGTTTTGTTCAGTTTTAAAAAAAAAGTTTTCTTGAAATGTGTGATAAAGACTACATCAATATTTTCATTTGTGCGTTTTCCCACAAAGACATCCTGGTCTGAATTGTATCCATTTCTAATGGGACAATTATTTTGAAATGTTCAATATCTATTCTAGTATAACATTTTTTTTCACCGCCGAGACGTTTATACCAGAGACATAAACATGATTTTTTATTTACCTGTAGCCTGGTTAGGCGCGGCAGCATGACTTTGCAATGCATCGTATTTAACATGGATATGATTTTAGAGAGACAACGGAAATCGATTGACGGGTCATCTGTTTCAGTCATTGATTGCGATATAAACATTATGAAATAATTGGAATCAGTCTATAGTGAAACGCGACATGGGTTCTTGACATAAATGACGTACAGGATTTATTCATATTTTATATACATTGCAAATGAGCAGACGACACTTAGCACCATAGGAAATGGCGTTCAGAAATAAGCTACCGGTCAATAATGAACACCAAAGTTAAAGAAGGTAAAACAATATGGAACATTACATTGATGGATTGAAGGATATTTTATAGATGACAGAGAATTGCAAAAACAAAATGTAAGTCGTTTGTTATGAAATCTGTATTTTGTATATACTGTACAGTACATGTTGATGAAATATAACGTGAAAAAAAGAAGTATCTTTTAAAAAAGATACTCGATTGAGGTGAACTTTGTTTAACCATTGCTTGGTAATTTATGGGTGTCCGATTGCACATATAGATTACCTGTCCTTTTTATTCAGTTTTTGTTTCATTCCAAAACTGGGAGATTGTCCTTGTGTACAATGCCCAGAATTGCATAACTAAATGCTGTAGTGTTAGGTGTGGGGGAAATAACGGATAAAACTGGATAAAGGGAAATATTACTATAGATTGATCTTTTCTAACAAATTAACTAAAATATCATCATCTAAGTTATATAAAATAATTAATAATATTTTCATGTTTGAAGTAATAGTTATAATTAATTTTAAGCATTATTTCTTGTTTGGGCTGTAGACATCAAAACGATAATCAAACACTTTTGAAACTTCATTATTTATTTATTTATAATTTAGGTTTGCCATAGCTACAGTGTTTTCCCCATTTTGTTTTCTAAATATGAAACCGAAACATACAAAAGGGTTAGACCAAAAGTTAGACCAACATTGTGTTAGGTCCTTTCCAATATTCACAAAGCCAAAAAGTGTACACAAGTTTTAATTGTCGATTTGTTGAAATTTAATAAAAGGGTCTGTCAAAATACACAAACATAAATTGAAAATCGTATATTTATGCTATGCGTTATAACGCTTTTAAATTTTAGGTCATTTTTCTCAATTAGAATAGAAAAAAAAACATACACACACACGCACGCACGCACGCACGCACACACACACACACACACACACACACACACACACAAAAAAAACACAAAAAAACAACAAAACGGAATGAGCGAATGATCTGAAATTTTGCGCCTAGAGATACATCAAATCGGAAAATCATTTCCAGTTCTTAAGTAAAACAACCCTCAGTGGTCTCCCTTTTAGTTTGCATTCATGGGCTGGCGACGACCTTATCTGTGGGTGCAAACACTTAATCTAAAAATCATGATTATGCAAAGTTACGGTAGATTCCATACCCTTATGTTAAGATTACATTTGTATACTCAAAGTTCAAATCGGTCACAAATATAAAATCGGTCACAAATATAAAATTGGTCACAAATATAAAATAGGTCACAAGTAAAAAAAAATGGTCTCAAATATAAAATTGGTCACAGATATAAAATTGGCCACAAATGTAAAATAGGTCACAAATATGAAATCGGTCACAAATATAAAATTGGTCACAAATATAAAATTGGTCACAGATATGAAATTGGTCACAGATATAAAATTGGCCACAGATATAAAATTGGTCACAAATATAAAATTGGTCACAGATATGAAATTGGTCACAGATATAAAATTGGCCACAGATATAAAATTGGTCACAAATATAAAATTGGCCACAGATATGAAATTGGTCACAAATATAAAATTGGCCACAAATATAAAATTGGTCACAAATATAAAATTGGTCACAGATATAAAATTGGTCACAAATTTAAAATTGGTCACAGAAATAAAATTGGTCACAAATACAAAGTTGGTCACAGTTATAAAACTGGTCACAGATATTTGCTCAATGAATCTAGATATTCCTGTCTTGTTTTACAAACGCTTGAACACAATAGTTTATTGGTCCGATTCCAAAAACTATTTGTCTATTTTGAATAGTATATCAATATCGAATTCTCCAATATTTTAATAGCTTTACCGTTTAATCTGGAACTGGTCAGTGTTAAAGATTTTCAATATCAAAATAAAAAACGTTGAGAAAGCAACAAAGACCGATACTCATCACTTCCTTTGCGCTTTCCAATGGTGCGCATACCATGCTTTATCCAAGAGATGACGAGCTTCAAGTTTAATTGGCAATGAATCGGGTACTGCATCATACCTATCATACCTATGACCTTTACGGATTTCCATCAATGGCTATTCCCTCTTGTGAGACTGACTCTGAATCACGTGCTATGGCTGATACTGCTTTGTTGCGCATTTGCCCTGTCACAACAAGGCTGCTGAGTTTCCGCCAAAATGATTGCGCTGCGAAGCCCCTGCAGCCAACTTCTCCAATGAACTAAGAGGTATCCACGAGGGGCTGAAACTTTTCTATGAAACGAGTATATTTATCTTCACATTACATGCATCTAATTTGAATTTTAAAAAAAAAAGAAAAAAAATGAAACTTAAAATAATAATGATAAAGTTACCTGAAGAAAGAAGCATTGGATGGGTAATCATTTGTCACAAAAAGTAGCAAAATGTAAACAAAGCAGTATTGTGACTTCCATACAAAATACTATAGACAACTATTACTGTGCTATTTGCTAAAAAAGCAAAGAAGCAAAAGATTCTGATTCAGAAAGTTAGAAAAGTTGGCCAATGAGCTCTTTAACAGGACATCAAAAATAAGAAGTTTTTGAGAAATAAAAATAAAAGCATTTCTAGGGCATAATGGGCCTTTAATATTTATGTTCGTGAAGTTATATTTCTTCAGCGGCCTTGAGGTAAATTGTTTTATATCAGTCATGCTTGTAGACTCATGTGAAAGTGATTATAATGCATTTTTGATCGTTTGCTTATGTTAATATATGACACTAACTTGAGGGTTCAAGGCTGCCAACCTCAGGCTATTTGGCCGTTAGTTTGCTAAACTACCAGGCCGCCAACTTCATGAAAATTTAGTTTTTGCTTTCGCAGACAACACAAGTATTTACGAAATATTAAGCGTTGCTGACTGATGTTTAAACATTTGCTCCCACGCAATCAATTGCAATGTCCCAGAACACCTGTTTTATTGGAATTTATTTCGCTTTGAACGTGTTTATAAAAGCTTTCATCGGGAAAAAGCCTATCACCACACTTGTTTGATATAATTAATAATTGACTGAATGTAGAATTTATTCAGTCGGATGGGTTAATGAACTGTAAACAGTTCTGAAAAAAAACATAACAACATCAATGATTTTGGTTAGCAACAAATACACAGGACAATTAATATGTTATTTTTTATTGGAATTATTTTTATACACTATAAACTTCCAATAAAAGCGCTGCCAGTCCTGTCTTCATATAATATACTTCGATACAGTCTCATTTAAATTATACATTGTATTGGAAATATGATTGACCCCTAAATGACCTTTGACCCTTAAGCTAAAATATTCAAATTTATATAGTATATTTTTTGCATTTACAGATTTTGAACGGGGTATTTCAGTCTTTGAATAAAGGTATTTGCCTGGAATTAAGGAAATGATAACATGTTCTGTTTATTAAATTTGTGATACTTTGTGTTACTGCCAATCTTTTAATAAGTACAGACTGACAAAGACATGGACGAGTGTTTAACGCCTTGGACTAGTTATCCTGCGCGGCTTCAATTGTTACACAATCATTGCATAATACTGGGTGCATGGTTCCAGGAACGGATTCGAGTGTGTGTCGAGTACACAAAGGAGCCAAAATAAATTCTGTATATAAGACTGGCAAAGAGATAGAAAGTGGGTTTACGTGTCCGACATCCACCAAGGTTTCTCCAATATTATTTCTTGTAAAATATCGAATGGTACTATTAACTTATGTCTCATGCATTTGTGCGTGCTTTTCATATGTATTAAGAATCAGGAATTTAGTATTTTTTAATAACCTCTTGTACAATTCCTCTAAAACATGAAGAAAATCTTATGGTAGCCCATCTACGTTTCCAGTGACAACTAGAGTGTATTAGCATAAATAAAAGAAGGTGCATACCATCAATCTCAATTTGGTCAGCAAAGTTTGGTAACCATAGCAGAGCTTTAAAAAAACAACACCCTATTATTCAAGCCTAAAACCGTTGGGTAATCCTATAGGTCTCAAGAACTTGGCGTCGTAATGTAAACAATTGTAAAACACTCATAAACAATTAACTACGATTCAAAACAAGAACAGAATTCAATACAACGCAGTAAGAGCTCAATAAATGACGAATAAAAACAGCTAACAGAACTATCAGCTTCATGATTTACAATATCAATGTTTAATAACAATATCGATCTAGCATTTCCAGACTATTGTATTCTATAGAGTTTTTACTCCGGTTTTATTTCAGTCAATGACAATGGTTTAGAAAGAGCTGGCCATTTTTACAGAGCACAATTTCCTGGCAAAAAAAACATAACAGCTTTTATTTAAGTCTATAACCACAGGGAATCGATATGTAATCCACAGAATTCGATAGTTTTTATAAGAAAAAGAATGATAAAAAGATTTGGATAAATATGCGACTGTAAAAACGGTAACTTATAAGCCGCCCTGTTGGCTGTCGGAAAGTTGTATTTCATAGAATCGTTTCCTTTAACGTCTGGGATAATAATTGATTTTGTATATTTTGCAATATCATTATTTATTAGCTTACAATGGATGACGGCGAATTTCAGGTAAATTATGATTTATGCTTTGAATATAGATGTAGGTTCGTTTTGGTAACATGGAAATACTTTTTACGAGAAATCAATAAAAACATGTAAATCAAGAATTTAAAGAGAGAAAAAACTTGCCTCGGTTGAGAGGAAAACATAAATAATGTTAATGTTAAATAAATTGAAGATCTAAATTTATAATATTGAACATTAAATAAAAAAAAAACAACCTTTGTTGTCATATAAATTGGACATGCAAATTTATAAGTTTGAAAATTATATACAAAAAATCCCCCTCTGTTCTCAAACATCTATATTGCATATAACATGTAAAAATTATAATTCCATGAGACATGGAATAACAAACAACATATAAAATTTTAATTTGATGAAAATTATTCTGCTGGCCTTGAAATATGACATAATGTCATGTTATTACATGTAATTTAAAATGAATAATTTGATAGCAATTATAGAAATAGTGGCGGCATGGCAGAGTGGTTAACGTGTCTGACTAGTAATCTAATGATCGCTAGCCGCATTGGTTCAAACCTAGTCAGGGGCAAGTCGTTGTTTCCTTGAGCAAGAAACTTTACACTCATTGCTCAGTACTGGATGGTTCCAGGAACGGATTCGAAAGTGTGTCTTTAAGCTTATAGCTTCCTACACAATCGAACTTAAATAAATTCTGTATAAACCAATTTGATAGAAAAATCGTCTCCGTGTGGGATGGAAATGCATGTATTATCAGTATTAATAATAGAATGCGAAATATAGCACGTTAATAATTATGTACATTTATAGTTAGATAAAAAAATCTTTTGGCATGCGAATTTGAAATAAAATATATGTTCAGTAAAGTAAATAAGAGTAATAAAAACAGGTCAGATTCTAAATAAAGTGAAATTAAGTTAATTTGAAAGTACATGTAACTTGACATTTTTTTTAATTGTGTTCAGTTTTATATTTTACTCAAAAATCACAAAAATCAGTAAGGAAATTTCTATAAATTTGTTCAAAATGTATAGGTTACGCTCAATTCTTTAAAATAGTTGGGCAGTCTCTTTATAACATAGTTTGTTTTGATATTGTATTATAAACATTTTACAATAACAATTATTGGTCAATTACAAATATAAAAGCCAATCTTTTGGTTTTTTACTAATTCAACTCAATTTGATAGCGAAATAATGAGCATAATGTCATTTAGACATGGACTTTCACACAAAACTAAAAATAGAAACGTAAATAACGAAAAACACTGACGGTCTTTTACCTAAGACTTCAAAAATCCGCGGTTCCACAAAAGTATGTTATACATTTTGTTCGTGCGAATAACCATACATCTGACTGCGTGTTCACAAAGAAAAGATCAGGATCAGGATCAAATGATCCTGACTTTATTTTCATTGCTTTATGAAAATAACATTAATCATATAAGGCTTAAATAATAAGGAATTTAAGAAACAAACCTATTCTTTTATATACAATTGATGAATAACAAAACAAAATACACGAGTAACCGGGATCGAACTCAATATTTTAGTCAACTGTTGAATTCGCATAACTTGTAAAGAAATAACAATACTATCCAAAAATTCATAAAAATGCTATTTCAAATCAACATTTAAATTAATTAAAGACTGAACAATAATTTATAAGGAATAAACAATGGAACATTTTTGAATTTGATCTTGATCCTGATGTTTAAATCCAAGTGGAGACGCGGCTTAGGGTGAGTTGATTGTAAGGGTTGTTGAAGGCTGATATAAATACAAATTTCTATTTTCCAGAATTTCGCATTAGCGTTCGGAAACACCATGCCTGCCGGGAAAGGTCAACGGAGTACGAAGTCCGAGATAAATGGACATACGGATAAAAAGAAACACCACCACAAGACGCCAAAATCAAATTTCCGGAAAGCCCACAGAGATCTAAATATAGCTGGTATCTATTTCCGTTCTGTTTATAAACATGTATCAGGGACCTGGAGATCCCCAGATTTTTATTTTTTAAAAGTAAACTCTACATTTGTGATAGACTGTGGGTGATTGCAACAGGGCGTTATGCCCGTTCCGCATGTTAAAAAAATTGAAAATTTTGTAATTGAAGGTTCCAAATGCTGTGTTAAAACAAATAAACAAAGCTTTTCTAAGGAAAAGGAATTCTTTACTTTTGGCATTTCTTCCTCCGTTTGTAGGTTTATATTTGAAATCCCGTCATCGATTACAGCCTGTCTAATCGGAACATCTCTGCTATTATTGTCCTTATCCGAAGACTGACGGAAAAAGCCGAAAAGTTGCGATTGAGTATCTTGCTATCATTCCAGGTCGAGAGTGGAAATTCTCTCTAAGTAGTCTGTTCTCAATTTTGACCCTCTTCAGACAGCTCTTAGTCATTATTTCATATATAATCGTAATTATACCCGTCCTATTTCCCTTCACATACAACCCTTCTCATACAACCATATTTGTTATTCAATAATAAAACGTTCTCAATTCCATAAAAAAAAAAATATTCATACATGTATTATGTATTCCAATTAGGCGAGAGATATTAGCTTATTCAAACATTGATATTGATATGAAGGACGATCAAAAATTAAATTTAGTCAATGTTTTATTTTTTCTGACGTAAATGTGGCTCAATTTTACGGAAGCATCCTGGTGCCAATTCATAATGTTCTATAAAAAAATAAAAAAGCCTAATTAGGACTTTGTAACTCCTACGTAGGGCTTTATAACTCCTACGTATATATATAGGAGATAAAAAAGCCTATATAAAGTTTATAACTCCTACGTAGGACTTTATTATAAGTCCTACGTAGTATTTTATAACTCCTACGTAGGACTTTAAAAGTCCTACGTAGGACTTTGTAACTCCTACGTAGGACTTTATAACTCCTACGTAGGAGATAAAAAAAGCCTAATTAGGAGTTTATAACTCCTACGTAGGACTTTTAAACTCCTACGTAGGACTTTATAACTCCTACGTAGGAGAATAAAAAGCCTAATTAGGTCTTTATAACTCCTACGTAGGACTTTGTAGCTCCTACGTAGGACTTTTAAACTCCTACGTAGGACTTTATAACTCCTACGTAGAATACATATCAAAGAACTGAAAGCACAGAATTCGACGGACATGTATGCTAGAGTATAACTTAAGATAGCATATTATGTAGGAAAATAAATTATATGAGCCGCGCCATGACAAAACCAACATAGTGCATTTGCGACTAGCATGGATACAGACCAGCCTGCGCATCCGCGCAGTCTGATCAGGATCCATGCTGTTCGCTTACAAACCCTATTACAAGTAGAGAAACTGATAGCGAATAGCATGGATCCTGATCAGACTGCGCGGATGCGCAGGCTGGTCTGGATCCATGCTGGTCGCAAACCCACTATGTTGGTTTTGTCATGGCGCGGCTCATATGTGTCAAGTTGTAATTGTGGCAAGCCCCTTTAGTAAATACCTTTAGTCTGTAGCCAGAGATGATTTTGTCATTCTCTGCATATATTAAACGATTATTCTGTATTGTGTACGTTTAGTTATATTTATTATACACATGTACACAAAATGTAAGGGTTAAACTTTGTTCAAAGTAGGATATACAATGTTATTCATTATTAAACATTTAATCAATTGAAACGGCCGAAAATGGATAAATTGCTCGTTTTGTTCAGCTAGTTCGTATTGAAATCGTAATCATTAAAACCTTTTAAAATTTTGATATAATTATATGCTTGATGTCGAGTAAGTTTTTTCCGAATAGCTGTAAAGCAATTTTTCGGGATACATCGCCAATGCTTACAGACACCTCACCCTAAGACACTGTACACTCTAGAAACCTGAGACACTTTATTAAAAGGTGAAGTGTTGCGGCATGGCCGTGTGACTAGTAGCCTAATGATCGCTAGCCGCATGGGTTCAAACCCCGTTAGGCGCAAGCCGTTGTTTCCTTGAGCAAGAAACGTTACACTCATTGCTAAGTACGTACTGGTTGGTTCCAGGAACGGATTCGAAAATGTGTCTTTTAGCTTATAGCTTCCTACACAATCAAACTTAAATAAATTCTGTATGAACCAAAGGTGAAATGTCCTCTATATTTAAGATTTGAGGGGGGGGGGGGTAAGTGTCTTGTTCCTTCGCCGATATACCGGTCCGGAATGTTGAGATTTGCAAAGCATTCTGTATGCATTTCTTATAAAGTCATAAAGTCCTAAGTCCTACGTAGGAGTCATAAAGTCCTACGTAGGAGTTAAAAAGTCCTACGTAGGAGTTTAAAAGTCCTACGTAGGAGTTAAAAAGTCCTACGTAGGAGTTTAAAAGTCCTACGTAGGAGTTATAAACTCCTAATTAGGCTTTTTTTATCTCCTACGTAGGAGTTTATATTTTTATAGAACATCATGAATTGGCACCAGGACGCTTCCGTACAATTTGGCATTCATATTATTGTTTGTTGAACGTTGTAGGCTTAGAAAATCGCATTTGCTATAAATCTTTTTTTACGGTGAAGATTTTAAATTGATTGATTAAGCAAAGACAGGCCAGTTAACGTGTGTAGATCGTCTCAACGATTATATTGAAACGGATTTCAATTCTTGCTCTGAAGATAAAAGAACGTAGTCAGTTATATTCACGATAACACTAAAATGCTCGCTGGGATATTTTTAGATACGAAAGATCCACTTGAAGACAGGCGTAAACAAGACGAGAAGTTGTTGAAAGAGTTAAGTGATATTGTTGGAGAATATAGTCAGCAGCGCATGAGGGCGCTACACATGAGTCTACGGCAGTATGGTAACGACGAGGGGAGAATGACCAGCAAGGAAATGCTCCAAGCTCTTCAGGTAAGAGTCTTATTTAGACCAAAAAAACCCGCATTTAACGACAAGAAGGAAATTACTTCATGCATGTCAGTTAGGTGTTTTATTTGGTTTAGATAATGTATAGTACGAACATAAACGAAATTCTCCAAGTTCGTCATGTACGAGTCTTATATTAAGTGAAGAAAACCTTATTTCAACGACAAGAAAGAATTTACTTCAAACTTTTAGATAATAGGAGTTTTAGTTGGTGCTGATAGTCTATATAGAACGACCATAAACGGAATTATTTAAGGTCTTTAAGTAGGAGTCTTATTAGATACTGAACATCTGTATCTAACGACCATAAAGGAATTTCTTTCAACTCTTTAGTTAGGGTTCTTATTTGGTATAGAAAAACTGTATATAACGACCCTATAGGAGGTTGCGTAATCTTCAGGTAGACTTATTTGGAATCGAAAAAAACTGTATTTAGCTACCAGAAAAGAAAAAAGCTCTTCAAGTTGGAGTCTTACTTGGTATAGAAAACGGTACATACAAACAGAAATTAAAGTGCTTCAGATAGGAGTTGCAATCTTACTTGCTATTGAAATCTTATTTTATTGTTTTAAACAACCAGAAAGAAAGTATTTAAGCTCTTTAGGAGTCTTACTTGGCAAAGAAAACCTGTATTTAACAACCAGAAAGTAAATACGTCAAGCTTTCCTTGTAGAAGCCTTTCATGTTATAGAAAATCCGTATGAGGAAAAACATAAAGGTCTTCAGATAGAGTTTAGTTAATAAAGCTAAGTGATAGAAAGTATTATAATTTAAAGTAAAAAAGTAAAAATACTCTGCTCTGTAATGACCGAATTTTAACTTGTGCTGTTCTGATGAGGGGAAATAAACATGTCTTATTGAGGTTGGAGTTAAACCTGTATATAACGACATGGCACTCTTATAGAGGATTATTTGATAAAGTAAAACCTTTATATAACGACATGTCAAAATCTATCTCAAGCTCTTCGATCAACTTTCAGGAGGACGACTTATTTTAGTACAGTATAACGGCTGTAAGGCATTTTTTTACAAGCTAATTAAGTTATGACTTTCTTTAAAAAAATACTTTCCAGAATTATTAATTGTTGTTTTAGATGAGAGACAGTCCTTCAAAAAGTAAGCTTTTGCTCTTCAATTGGAAATATAGGAAAATAATGAAGTACATGTAGTCCTATGGTCACGTGTTTCTTAATGGCAGACGGAGTCTTGACTGTACTGGTATATCAAAGGTTTCACTAAAAGTAGCTGTATGTAACTTACTTGTAACAGCTTAATGGCATTAAAGCGGCCTTCAGCTTTTGGATTAGATATGCTATTTTTAGATAAATTGTTTCATATGATTGTCAAATCAAAAGAATTAAGATGGAAAATGAAATTTACAGACGATCAAATACATAACCAATAAGAAAACCCCTCGAAACCTCTAATCAACTGTTGAGCTCTCTTTATTTAAAAAAGGAAAATTCCCCGATCTTCTATTTTCAGTAAGTCATTGACGAGTTATAAATAGCTCTCGGAACGCTGTTTTAAAAAGGCTTACAGTGATATGGTAAGATAATATTACTGAAATACTGAGCATTGTTTTTCCAAAGCTGAAGCCCGCTTTAATAACATATTGATATACTGATAGAGACACATTTATAGATATGATAGACACTAGCAATTTATGATTAAAGTAATACATCACTCAACAACAAATGAACACTTCAGTCACTTTATTTATTCATATATTCTTATGTATATGTTCGAGCTATGAGACAACCCATGAAACTATCTAAACTATCTCCCCATATTGCAGTGTTATCGTGCCTCTGAACGCTCACCCAGACCTCATCCCCAGGCACTAGTTGTGCAACAATCGTTGTAGACCCCTGATCATGGTTCAACCGCCTTCCGTCAGCGATCGCTGCTGCAACTTCTTTCCCATTCTTTAGAATAAATACCATTGTTGAATCAGTTCCGCCGTATAAACCCATTATAGAAACCGAGAAGATGTAGATTCCGGGAACGGTAGCCACGAACAGACCCTGCTGTGAGTGGTAGGCGCCACCTATATTGAGCATTACAGTATCGAAGATGATGGTTTGGTTTATATGAAGATGGTCTACGGTTCCTCCTTTAAGTGTAGCATGAAAAGCAATGTTCCCCTCTTCGTCTGCCACAAAACGTTTGTCTGCTCTCTGACCTAGAAAACAATCAAGGATTCTATAATTAAAAACCAACCTCTTAATTGAATGAAATTTCCAAGCCAAAAGAATAGTTCTTTGAACTGAATTATAAAACGTCTGACTTAGCTCGTCCGTCTTGTGGCATAAACCTCACAATACATTATAACATAACACTAAATGTATGTATTTACTTAAAACAAGTAGCTTTTTCCATTTTTTTGCCCTTACAAAACCCTATTTTGGGGTTTTTGGGTTTTTTGTTTTTTTTTTAGCACCGAAATTTAAATGACACCCTCAGTGCTCACACCGAGAAACCAGTATTTTTTTTTTTTAAAATCCCCATTTTTTTGAACCTTCCCAAATTTGTTGAATTTTTTTGGGAAGAAAATTTGGGTTTTTAAAAGGCGTACATTTCGTCATTTAATCGTGCAATGGTGTTGTCCTGTTTCAGCACGGTGTTCTGGAGTTGTTTGATTTCAGTGTTGAACTGAGTGTTCAGGGCTGCATCTAAAACGTTGGAAAATATAAAAAGATCTGATCTTAAAAAATATTTAAAAATAAAGATAATATATGGGACATCTCTAAGTTCGTGCAAAATGTAATGTATTTTAGTACTTAAAACGTTTTATCAAAATCATCGGCCAACAGACATGCATCAACATTGTTAATTTTTCAGGAAAGATTTCTGCAAAAAAGAGATAGATTGAGAAGGAAATAGATATAATTTGAATAACCGGTATTACGAGAGTGTTTATGAAATTAAATAGTTTCAGATTTTATTTTGATGTATTATATGAAACAAATTCATTAACATTTGTTATGTCAAGGCGTTATTATTCAAGAAATAAGAAAACAAACATAAAAAAGCGAAATGCACTTACATTGTTTTTCAACAGCAACAATTCTAGACTTCATATCGGCATCATTTGACTCGGATTCTGCACCATTTATTTGTGAAAAATTGTCCACACATAAGAGAAGTAAGAATAAGAACAATTTGTCGAGCGCCATCATTATGATTAAACCTAAATGAGTAAATATGTAAAAGTTTTCTTATCTTCTGAATGGCCTTATCACCAGGTTAAAAAGATAACTGCATTAATACTTTGGGGAAGGGGTGTAAAATGGCAACTGGGCCAAAAATTTTGTTTTGTGAAAAATCATTTCATCTAGTTTTTGACAATACTCGATTAACGCTTCAAACTCGTGTATACAAAAGCTAAAGGGTTTTTTGGGAAAAGGTTTTCCTTTCTCTAAACCAAATCGGCCCTTTATATCAAAACCGCTTTATATTGGAAATACAGGAAAAATACAATGAATTTTCCCTTTTAAAATCTGTCCACGGTGGTAAAAAATTTTAAAAAGGGGGTTTGGGTACAAAGAAATTTAAATCACGCCTTTCCGAAAACTGCAACTTCGGCAAAAATGGTTGAAAACGTAAAGGACTTGATTGCTACTGATGCAAGATTTACAACTTGTAATATACGTAAATGCGTTGGTATCTCTGTAGGAGCCGACCATACAATTCTCAGAAGTGATTTAAAAATGAGAAAGATAAGTGCCATCACCTTACAAAAGAGCAAAAACCTGCTCGGGTAAGACTACCCAAACAATTGTTGATACAGTTCCCTAAATACAACAATCGATCTTTCGCAAATAATTATCATCACCGGCGATGAGCCGCGTTTTCACATTTCTGAGCCCAAGCGAAAGATACATTACAAAATATGGCCAATCAAAATAAGTCAAAGACCCTGCATAGCAAAACTCGTCATGAACGTCAGAAAGATCATGTACATAATTTTCTTTACCAATCAATGTCCTTCTATTCAAATTGCCGTACTGGTAAAGGGTAAATCTGTAAATCCCAAGATTAACAAAGGCAATGTCCTCCATAAATTAAAGAAATATTTAAAAAAAAAACCGGCGACCAGCAATTGGTCTCTGTGGTTGCAGGTTGTTGCATGAATATACTTCGTCACACAAATCGGCCATTGTAAGAGACGATCTGAAACAGGTAAAGGTTATCAGGCTTCCGCATCCTCTTTATTCGCCAGATCTTTCCCTTTGTGTCTTTTTCCTATTTCCGAGGCTCAAAAACACTTTGCTGGAAGAAAATATCAAACGCGAAAACATCTCGATCGGCTGTTTTCTAGTGTCCCGAAAAAATATCCCCCGAAAATTTTAATGAAAAAGCCATTTAGAAAATTGGGATTAAAAAATTAAAAATTTGTATATCAAAATGGTGGGGAGGTTTTTTGAAAAAATTGTGATAATCATTTTTGGGAAATTTTTTTGTTAAGACTTCTGTAATTTTACTTTTGTTTGGATTCAAAATTTTGGGTTTCTCCTTCTTATACATTTTTATTACCTGTATAAAAACAACTTTAAACCCAATAAAAGGAAAAACCCATTTTGAAAAACATTTTTGACTACCAGTTGCTTATACTTGCTTAAGTAGAGTCAATTGCATCTTATTTGTCACGATTTAAATCCAACAAGTTTTTCATGCAGAAAAATCGTATGCCACCTTTAGCCTCCACAACTATTTTGCCCCAGGCGCCCTAGCTGCATTTTTACGAGAGTAAAGCGGCTGACAGATGGTAAGGGGGATGAGTGGAAAATGGTGAAAACTAAAAAAACGTCATGAAACTTATGTAAGTTTAATGGGACATCAAAAGATAAGGGAACATACAGTTTAAAAAACATGCAAAGTAAATAAAGTGCCCTTTTTGCGCATCTGGGTACGATAAAGTTTTGGGGTTTTCAAAGAAACCCAATTTTTGTTGTTTTCTTTAAGAAATACATGGCCCCTGTTTCCCTTTTTTAAATTTCAAATTTTATTAATGTTTTGGGATTTTTTCTGTTCACATTTCAAGATGAAAAAATTCTCTTACAGAAATTTTTTATAATTATTAATAAATTGGGTTTTTTTCAGGAAAATAGAGGGCGGGGAAAAAACATAAAAAATTAAATTTTTCATTAAATATGTTGTTTTTTTAAAAATAGATGAATATCAAAACATTTTGGGTCAATCAAAATTTAAAATTTAAATTTACATGTTTCTTTTTTGTTCGGCTATAAGACAAAACCCCTGAAACTAAACTTTAAAACCCTCTGCCCATAAATTGGGAGGGGTCTTCGTGTCTCTGAACGCTTTACCCCGACCTTCATCCCCCGGCCCCAAGTTTTTTGGGAAAAAAAGTTGTAACCCCTTTATCATGGGTTGGGGCCGCCTCCCGTAGCGATCGCTGCTGCGATTTCTTTTTCCCCGTTCTTTTTTTAAAAAAATACCAATTTTGGGAAACTGTTCCACCATAAAAAACCCAAGATTGAAACCGGAAAATGTGTTTTCCGGGGAAAGGGGGGCCCCCGAAAAAGACCTGATGGGGGTGGTAGGCGATATATTGAGCATTAAGTATCGAAGATGATGGTTTGGGTTTTAAAATGAGATTTAAAAGTTTTCCCCCCCTGTAAGCGTAACAAAGGAAAAACAATGTTCCCCCCTTTTGTCTGCCACAAAAAAGTTTTTTCCCCTTTGTTCGACCTGAAGCAAGAACGATATCATTTTTTTATTACGGAAATATCCTACTGGAATGGCAATGTGATTTAAATCTTAGTATTACATGTCTGAAATGTGTTTTCAATTCTTATGGTGTTTAACCCTACATCTGTGAGTGGCAACAAAACTACCCATGTGACCATGCAAAGACTAAAACTGATGAATGATTTTGTCCAAATTAAAGACCGATAAGTCAATTTAAGAAATTTAGAACAGTAAGGGCCAAGAAGAATTAGAACCATTTCGTTAAATCTTTGAAAACATATGTTTGTCCACTTATGTTTTACCTTCAGATTATTGTTTGAATAGTTTGGATATTGATTGTTATCAATATATTTTTTATTATTTCAACTGAAAAATTATTTTTTGTTGCACTGTTCATAAAAGTAAACCGTTACTTATTGGATATATATTTTGCTGAGAATTATGTCAATAGTTTTGTCGCCTTACCAATTTGTTGTAGTTTCTGAGAAGCAAATTGTTTCAAGGCGTACATTTCGTCATTTAATCGAGCGAAGTTGCTGTCCTGTTTCTGCACGGTTTTCTGGAGTTGTTCGATTTTAGTGTTTAACTTCTCATTCTGAGCTGCGCCTGTAAAATACAGAATATTTAAACTTATATACTCAAACTATATTGTGATATTAAAGAAACAAATTAGAACAAGAAGAAATACACACGTATAACTATACAGGCAAATTCCTTTATAATTTGTGGTACACATAAAGGATTTCCACCGAGTTCTAAAAACCTAAAAAGAGAACTGTCACATTACATGGATACATAAATAGAGTAATTAGTCATTTTTATGAAGAACAACAGAGGATAAAATGCACATCGTAACTACATCTTTAACGTCAATAGATATGAAACTAGCAGAATAAAATCTGTTAATAATTGATAACAAGAGATGACAGCTCTCTCATTATGTTAAAATTATATATAAAGGTAACACTTACATTGTCGTTCAATAGCTGCAACTCGGAATTCAAGATTCTTGTCTGGTTCGGTTTCTGCATAATATATATTAGCAAAATTTGCCACAAGCAAGCAGTAAAACAACGTTTTGAGTGCCATTTTTATGATTTATCTTGCCTGTGTAGTAATATTAAAGTTTCCTTATCATATGAGGGTCAATGTAAAACATGACACAGTAACATGACATAGTAAAATGAAATAGTTGGGCATTGTTTTATTTCACATCAACCAAAACCAATGAAGAGCTTATAAAATATATCTAAATAGATGTCAATGCAACTTTAAGGACTTCATGTCCCTTGAAAATGACTTAACTATATCCTTTCCTTGATGTGTACAATGAAAATTGACATAACTATAGTCGTTCCTTGATGTGTACAATGAAAATTGACATTACTACAGTGTATGCGTGATCGCATGCGCACTAAAGCACTAATTTCGATTAGATTTAAACGAAAGTTTTGGCTGTGAAGATTATATTACTAGTATGTAGTTTAGAAATGCATTTGTATTCGTTTATTTGAAATGTTATTGTATATAAATTTTATTACTTCCCTTTGTTTACCATTAACATTTGACTGTTTTCAGGATAACTCTGTCTCATTTCCAAGTCTTCTTTTGAAAACGCTTATTACCAAATTTGACAGTACCAAAGGGATAGATCTCGAAGCGCTGTTCCGTTTTCTTATCGAATCACATGGGCGCACGGGCCGTGACAGTGTCATGGCTATGCACAAACGTAACGATCTTGCTCCTCGGACTGATGTGTCACAGGACGATATTGATGAAGACCTACTGTGGAGAATTGAGTCACAGCTAATCAAATGCCAGGACTACATTGACCTTGCAGGACTGAGGTCCGAGCTTCAGAAAAGAGACAGTGGGAAGTGTGGAATCATTGATGGCCCGCAAGTAAGTTTTGTCTTTCTGTGTTTATAAATTTATATATATTTGAATTCCTACTGTTATTTCAGCTTTAGCAAGTGTGTAATGACTTGCATGTATTTGTATTTCAGCTAAATCACGTGTGTAATGACCTATTTTTATTTCAGTTGAAGCACGTCTGCAACGACCTACAGCTACCAGTTTATGGGGCTCTCCTGAAAAATTTGATGAAAAGATGTGACGAAGCAAAAAATGATAAAATATGGTAAATTCTTTGTAGTCATGTAAATTAAGAACAGCATTTTATGAAAAATGTGGCACGGATGTCGATATTTTGTAATCTATGCTTTTAAACGATAACTATATGTTAGAAGTATTCGCTTAAGAATTACGTGCATGGCTTACATACTTAATATAAGTAAAGTAGAACAAGTTTGTCAGATTTCATGTTATTTTCTTAAATATTCATATACACATTTAAGTGATAATACTTCTGACATTTCAATAATAGATATTCATTATACTTTCGGTCTTTTTGCAGCTGGCCAGAATTTCTTTCCTTTCTCGAGCGTGCACAAGAAAACGCGAAAATAACTTGCCCGAGTCTGAAATCTCTACCGGAAAGATTAAAGAGTAGAACCCCTGTTGAACCTTCACCTATAGACGAACTGTCATCCAAAACAAGAATTAGCATCGTTAATAAACTACGTAAAAAGGTATGATAATTATGAAGACTGTCTTAAACCATTTTGTGGCTTTATTTCCGGAAAAGATATATTTATATCAAATCTTAGAACAGGACACAGAACTATTTACTATTTACGTGTACATATATATGTGTAGGCATATTGGCACTACTGAAATCTCGTTGGGCGTTCGTGGTCGAGTGATTAAGGTTGTTGACCTAAAAACCGCTTGCCTCTCACTGCTGCAGGTTCGAGCTGCGCAAGCGTCTTCAGATTCTTTTTTGTGAGAAAGCTATCCAGCTGCATGTAGCTTATGGAACGTCAGGTGCCCGTTTGTGCCTGAAATAATGAAAAAAGTGGCACCTGAGGTCTTCCTCCACCAGTAAAGCTTGAAAGGCGCTATATAACCTATGTAAGGTTGATGCGACGTTAAACTCAATGAGATAAATAAATAAAACCTTAAAACTCGTACAAATAATCATTATACCTAAGAGCTATAAGCCAATAGAATTCTACCTTCCCTAGCCCAATAGTCAGACACAGTTGAAGCATCACTACAAGTCAAGTGCAGACAACAAATCACAAACTGTTTTATTTTGTCATGCATCTTTAGCGCAAACACATTATCTTCAGTGTGTTATGTAGGAAGAGGATGAAAAAATATACAAAATACAATAATTATCGTATTCTTTAACTGGTAGCTTTTTCGATATTGAACAATTTGTTGTTGTTTTTTATTCAGAGCGCCATCAAAACAACAGAAAGAAAACAAGAAACCACCAATGACACTGAAACTGCTGATACTGCTAAAGAGGCCTCTGTCAATATTGCTGATAAGAAAACTGAGACTGTGGAAAACGGGGTAGACGGTGATGACAAGGATAAAAATAGTTCGTAAGTTTTATAATACATATACTAATGTACTCTTGAATTTTCTTCAGTACTGTATGAAAATCACCAGAAATAGCATCTCAAAAAAAAAGAAAATGACCGATGTGTAGTCATGTATTGTATCAGTTTGAAAATATATGATGACGTCATGATCTGAGGTGATGCTACTGATGATAATGACCATGCTCTTCAAATGTTGAGGTAAATAAAGAATATATACAGCCACTACTGTTTTGGGCAGGAATTAAATACGAATCAAGTTATGTGGTATATAAAACTCCATTCTGATTGGCTTTGACAAACGGTGTTAGGAAAAAAAAATAGTCAAATCGGGTTAATTGTATGACGCCGTTAAAGCACGTCAAAAATGAAATTGTTAAAAATCTTTATTACCTTTTTGATTTTGACTGATTTTAATTAAACTATCATATGTTTTGCTTTTTATATACATATCATTTTAATATGTTTCTATTGTTAGATATACAAACTAGTCCACACGTTTAAATTTGAACGAGTTTGAATCCAGACTGAGGTCATGATATTTATATGTAACAATATATACTAATCTTTAAAATATTAAGGGTTCAATTATGTCTATAATATTTACATTTTTATAGATTGGGTCAGCAACGAGAGGCTTCAACAGTGTCGGTATCAGATCAAAAAGGTAATGAAACATTAGCCTTCGCAGTTAATCTAACTATTTATAACTTTCATGGATAGATAATGTAGTTTCTTTCTGTCCGTCATCTGTTTTCGTTTGTACCTTGTGCATTTGTTTATGCTGTATGATCTATTGTTGTACATAATTATATTAAGTAAATGATCACCAACTCAAGAAAAGACCAGCCAGAGATGTTTAGCGCGTGGTCCAGTATTAACGCGCTAGTCTATTAATAAATTAGGTCCGATCTCCCCGTTCACTTATAAAACGAACAAGTGTCGCCTTCTGGAACGGAGTAACTTCTGTATGATGTTCTATACCGAATATAACAACAAATTCTTCAGGGACATTTTAATACTGGTAGCAAAAAAGCGACAGTGAATAAACCGACCAAAAATGAAAATTACAAATGACAAGGACTTGACTTGACTAGTAAATTGTTTTAAATACAAAAAAAGTCAAATATACAATCAAGTCTAGTAAGTATTCAGGTCCGATCCTAACCCATGCATTGTGAATTGTGAAACTGTTTGAATTTTCCTATTTACCTGTACGGAATAATATGTCGGTTTTAAGAACAATCAGAACAATCACAAGAGTTAGGGTCAGTCAGTGAAAATTCCATTCGTCCGCTCTACGAGTAGAATCTGCAGCAGGACGTGTAAAAACTGTAGTCTGCGAGACAAATGAAACAAGAGCCATGTCAACATGGCCATCCCCCGCCGAATGGGTTTGCTCATTGGAAGAATGTATATGTAGTAGAGCAGAATAATTCAATTCTAAGAGGTCTTTTGGTAATGAAAACTAATGGCTGAAGTGATTACAGATTTGAAACCTATGTGAATACTGATGGCTGAAAATAACAAAGGGCAATAAAAAAATGCAGGGTAGGTTATCATTCTTGTGTGCTGCACCCCTCCTCAGTAAAATCTATCCACCTATGAAGTTGTAAGTTGATACCTCAAATACTTTTTGAGATAAGCTCCGGACAAAATAGTATGAAAAAAGAACAAAGGGCAAAAACTCAAAAATTATATAGGGAAGGGTTATCATTCTTGCGCACAGCATTCCTTCTCAATAAGATCTATCCACCAATGACATTTCATGTTGACATCTCAAACACTTTTGAGGTATGCTCCACTCAGGTGAAAAATTAAGTATGAAAAATAACAAAGGGCAAAAACTAAAATATTATGCAGGGAAGAGTTATCATTCTTGTGCACTACACACCTCCTGAGTGAGATCTATGCACCTATGAAGTTTCATGTTAATATCTCAAAGGCCTTTTGAGTTATGCTCTGAACAAAAATTAATTTTGAAAAATAACAAAGGGCAATAACTCAAAAAGTATGCAGGGAACAGTTATCATTCTTGTGCACTACACTCCTCCTCAATGAGATCCATCCACCTATGAAGTCTCAAGTTGATATCTCAAATATTTTTTGAGATAAGCTCCGGACAAAATAGTATGAAAAAGAACAAAGGGCAATAACTCAAAATTGTATAGGGAAGAGTTTTTATTCTTGTGCACAGCATTCCTCCTCAATACGATCTATCCACCTATGACATTTCATGTTTACATCTCAAACACTTTCGAGTTATGCTCCACTCAGGTGAAAAATTAAGTATGAAAAATAACAAAGGGCAATAACTCAAAACTTATGAAAGGTAGAGTTATCATTCTTGTGCACTGCACACCTGTTGAGTGCGATCTATGCACCTATGAAGTTTCATGTTGATATCTCAAAGGCTTTTTGAGTTATGCTCTGGACAAAAATTAATTTTGAAAAATAACAAAGGGCAATAGGTAGAGTTATCATTCTTGTGCACTGCACTCCTCCTCTATGAGGTCTATGCACCTGTGAAGTTTCAATTTCATATCTCAAATACTTTTTGAGATATGCTCTGGACAAAAATGTCGGACGGAAGGACGGACGGACGGACGGACGGATGGAAGGACGGACGGACGGAGACTATTTCTATATCCCCCGCCGCCTTTTCGGCGGGGGATAATAAGTAGAAAACCGCTGAAATATATCTAATGTATGTTTTCACGATGTAATAGACATAAAGGCTCCAATCATTAAAGAAGTAAACGGTTTACAAGAAACTATTACCCGATGCTTAACTACATATTTCAATGTGTCCAATTTCAAAACACATCGTTTTTTATTCTATATTTGTCTAACTCTGTCATTTTATTATGTTCATACTTACATAAAATTTACAGAGAATGATGGGTCACACACGCCGTCTGAAGAAAGAAATTCAACAGTTGTTACTTTACAAGACGTTCAGTCTCGTCCTTCTACTGAGAAAAGTGCAGCTGATGATATTGATTTAACAGACGACACGAGTATCAACGAAACAAACAAAACCAACGAAGACGAAATGAAACAAACGGAACAGAATTGGGAAAAAGAACTAACATTGCAGAGCTTAAGCAATTCTGATAACAAGGGAGATAATGAAATAAACGCAGATTTGCCAAAGGATAGTGATAGTGTTGAAATGGTTACTTTCAAGAATGGTGAAATAGTTTCCGTTGACAACGAAGAAGGTAATTTACATCGCATCTTGGCTTAAGTCATTCCTACTTTAGTCAAGAGATTTAAACAATTGTAGTTGATAAATACATTTTGCACAATATAAACATTTGACACAAGAACATGTACTTGTAATTATTATAAATGATCAATTTGATAGGTAATTGAAAATACTACGAATACATATTGGATGTCTCAGAAACCCGGTGGCAGTGTTGAGTCAGGGATACTGTTCAAAAGCAGTTCAAAAAAAGAAGAGAAAAGTCATACCTTAAAAACATGTATGTAGGAAAGTATAGATGCAGTATAACTTTTTTCAGAACTGCTTTTTACACTATCCCCTACCTAACACTTCACCTCGGCGTTGAGATTAAGATTATCGCCGGTATTTTCACATACAATGTAGAGATATTCACATATAACGTTGTATGGTCGTACGTTGCTGAATGGTTAAGGTCGTTGACTTCAAACCACTTGCCCCTAAACGTTGTGTGTCCGAATTCCGCAAGGACCTGTGGATTTTTTCATGCTAGGAAGTTATCCAGCTAGCTTACGGAACGTCGGTGGTTCTACTCAGGCGTTTGGAGATTTACATATTGAATAGAAGAAACGAGACCCCTAGAGAAAACTAAAAACGACAAAAGTGAAAATGTTGCAGACTCGGTTTGATTGATGTCTCTGTTTCAGAAGAGGACAGCAGTCACCAATTGGCGACAGACGGGGAGAAAACACTTATTTCTATTGAAGTCAAGGGGAAGACTTTATCATTTGTAGCAGATAAAGATTACATTGAGAAACAAACAATTGAACCTCCTTGTGAACGGTTGAAACTGCAATGGGTGTAAGAATTCATTAAATAATAATGTAAATTTTGTGATAACGTATGCATCACAATTGTAAGCTTACGCACATAGCTTTATTTAATTGGACAGGAGCTATGGCTTCATAATCTTAAAATCTGTACCAGTGATTTATTATCCTGCAAGTGTACATTTATCGTGAGATTACGTGTCTTCATCTTGAATTTGCAAAGAAATCTTTTTTCCCAAACAATATTAAATAAACAATTTCTATAATTATTTTTTGTGTGTGGCAAATATGCTAAAATTGTATGAAATAATAGCCATAATGTTTTGATATTTTGAAAGAACTTTGCTTCTTCAAGCACAATATGGATTTTATATGCAATTACTCTGAAAATAAAAACGATGCCATACGGAGTAAACTTGTGATTTGGTATGGAATTTTTGAAGTCAGAAGATGAAACTGAGGCAAGAATGAGTACAGTAATGATATGATATGGTTTTTTTTGCCTTGAAAATATAAAAACGAGTCTTAAATCATGATATTGGTTCCAATGATGATTTAAATTGGGAGATCACAAGGTGCAAACGCTTAATTTCTTATTTCAGATATGGTTACCGAGGAAACGATTGTCGGAAAAATATTCATAATCTATCTGGAGGTGACATTGTTTATTTCATGTCCTATATCGCAGTCATTTACAACAAAGAAAACCACAAACAAAAGTTCTATAGAGAACATACTGATGATATTAAATGGTAATTGATTTATGTTTGTTAATCAAATATCCGGTCTTAATCGATAGGATATGTATTATCCAAGGGTGGCCATGATTCGTCACCGGCTCTAAGTATTTTACAGTGCTAGTTTGATACGCTATATTTTTTAATGATCCAAACGTTTATTTTGAAGAAATGTGTTTTCTTTCTTAAAAGATATTTGTTGAGATTTTGTGACATACACGCGTTAACAGTTTTGCCTCTAGAACAGGGACAAATATGGGGCACCCAACGATATATTTCATTGTACTTTAATTTTGTTACATAGTTTTTCACGCTTATGTGAATATTAATCAATTTCAACTTTTAAGTTAGTTCATTATTCGTTTGGTATTAACATATAGGACCTACATAAATAATGCTTACAAAAGTGCATACGAGAGAAAAATAAAACCCATGTTTATACTTTTTATACAAATAACAAATATTGGCACTAGTATACTATATCATCTGCTGAACACCATGCGTATCAATCTTAGTTGAAGGATTCCCAAAAACATTATTATTATTTATTTATTACTTATTTCAAATGAAACCAAGCTAAATCGAAACATTTTTCACCGGACTGACAAGGTGTTACCGGAAGTTTTGTGTTTGTTTTGCCATTTTGTATATGAACAAATGTAGTGTATCCCCATGTTGTATAGCCATGCACCTTTGGGATTGCAAAGAAATCTGTCTTGTCTTGTTTAAAGTAAACTGTATTTTGTTTTCTGATTATTTGTAGTATCGATGTCCATTCGAACAAATACATCGTTGCCAGCGGACAATATGCCAGCAGAAAGAATACATCTATAAAGGTATATAAATAATGTTAAATTAAAAGGGTTACAAGATATCAAAATTAATGTTATGACAATATGATTAATATAACTAAACTTGATTATTTGATAGATTCAATTTTACAAAATTTTCAAATGGGAACGGATGCAACACTATTAAATGAAAACGGATCCAACACAGTGTAAAAATGCTCTTTTTAATGGCGTTTACAAAACAACAGAAACTAAATTCGACTAAATAAATGAACAAATAAATAAAAAAATCAAGGAATAAAAAAAAAACACCACAAAAAACAAAACAAAACATTATTATAAGTTTTTGATGATTAACAAGATTTCTATTATCTGATATAATGTAGATATTGGTAAACTTAATTTTACACGACCATAATCTTTTGAAATAATGTCCCAAACATTTTCTTCAAGTTGGGTCTGGTCCTTTATTTTATTGAACCAGGCGACAATTCGAATCAATTCAAGCTAAGTTTAAAATTTACCATCATTCCGTTACGTTGTGTCGCCTTTAAGAAAACATATAGCTGTCTCAGTCAAATCTTATAAGACACAGACTGAGTACAAACATCTTGTACGGTTGATATTAATGGACTTAATAGACCTTTCCAGTGTTTATGACTGGAAAGGTCCATTCTTTATTCTTTTGCTTTTTTTGTGTGTTGTAGAGATGACCATCATTGTACATAGATTACCTACAAAATATAACGTTATCCATATTGTAATGTTTTAGGCCGTTGTAAGAATCTGGAGGGCGGATAATCTTCATACGTTACATGTTCTTGGTGAAGGTGTGTTCGAAAAGTCAGTGGCTTGCATTGCATTCGCACCAAATAAGGTAAGTTTACGATCAGTTGACTCGCCACAACAGTAAGTTTCCTTCAAAAAGTTGGTAAACAGCTGCAGAAATATATTAAATCTGTAATGTGATTGAAGATTATCGATGGGACATTTCAATGAAAATATCATAAACTACCATCATTGTTAAATATATTGTCCAAGTTTATAGTTTATCATATTTATTCTGAATTTGGCTCAGAACCATCTAACGATGGGGAAAACAGTTTAAGAGGAATTGCCTCCTTTCATTTCACTTATGTTATTATCGTCAATAGCTGTTCCCGCTGTTATTTTCTATCCGACGGACCTTCTCCTTTTCGCTAATAACTGCACCCCAACTTAAGGTGTGCTCCACGTTGGTCCTCTTTTCGAAAGGATCCCAGTAGGATGTTATATAGGCTGATTTCCAATGAAGAGCATTGTGTTTGGGAATAACAAATAGCAGTGATAATGTATATATAAATATTTTCTAGGATTTGATAGCTGTTGTGGATAACAGCTTAGAAAAGAGATTAACTGTATGGGACACGTCAACTGGTACCATGAAAGGACAAGACGTGGTAAGTTTTCAATTTAGTATTGGCCTAACTTCTGTAGGATTTTTTTCAAGAATTTAAATACAAATACGAGTGAACCCGCGGTGTATAAATGGTAGTTTACTTTGTATCAAGAAAATTTTGCATTTTCATTATGATATTTCGGCGTCATTTACTTCAATACATATGGTCCTAATAATCAAATATAGATTTATACAATGTATGTAAGTCGATAGTAAGGGGTGGAAGGTTGTGTTGTATTTACCAGCGAAGCCCAAGTATATGCCACTCACTATGAAACATGTTGCGCAAATGTCACTCCTTAGGGTTATTGTTCCGGGGTATGCATATCTTTACTAAAAATGAATTGATAAAAACAAATCAAAATTTTGTTTTCTACACTTTTTATTTATCAGAAAAGATAATTTGCTTAAACAAATAAGGCTCTTCTTCTATTCTTACGTTTTAGAGAAAAATATGATTATTTGACACAAATAAAGTTTTCAAATTATGCGTTACAGTTACAAACGGACCTAGTCTGTGATATTGGTTTCAATCCAAAATATCCCGAAACCTTGGTAACTATTGGAAAGGAACATACATGCTGGTGGAAGATTTATCCTGAAAGTGATACTGTACAAGCTTCTTCAAAACCGGATTATGATGTAAATATGATAATTATAATTCATCATCATCATCATCATCATCACCATGTTCATCATTATCATCATGTTCATTATCATCATTAATATCATCATCATTATCATCTCCGCCACCGCCAAAACCACCATCATCATCATTACCGCCACAACCGATACCAAATCTTCATCATCAAAAAAATCATCATAAGCATCGCTATTATTTTTGTTTTGCAATATGGTATACATGCATTATAAACTCATATACATGTATACTATTGCTAAGCTTGAAAAACAATTCAATTTCTAAGTACATGGACTGTATTATTTTTGAATAATGGTTTGTTTAACGGTTCACTTTTTATCATTAAGAGCTCATACTTTATACCATACATATTTACGCTTCTGTCCGAAATTCAAAACTATTTAGACCTTTTATAATATGAGTTTAATCATAAAATTTATGATCCTCCTGAATTTCAAAATATGCTTGCCTTCAATTGCTTAATTTCTTTTGGCAATGTACTTTATATAGTTATACAGTTCACGCTCGTTAATACCATTATGTTTTATTTGCTTTGCAGAATTTTCTGAGAGCAAAGTTTGTCATATGTTTAACATTCAATGAGCGAGGAGATCTTATCACGGGTGATTCTAACGGAACAATTTATGTGTTTGGAGACGGTGGCAATAAGATTACCAACTTTATAAAACATGGACATGATGTAAGAACTCTTTTTTACACTTTTCTTACGATTTTTTATTTACATTTTTTAATGCATAATTTTCCAAGAATTGTTTAAATTCTGTTTTTGAATTACAGATATACCGACCACATTAGAGTTTATATAATGTAAGCAACTTTAATAAAATCGAGAAAAAAATCTATATAATGTTCCAATTTGTTCTATGTGATTTTTTTAACTTTATGTATTATGCGCAATATGATGTATAAAGATTTTAATAATATAGCTTTTACACTTTAATATAATCCATTAAAACTGCACGTTTGTAACGTCAATTTTCATTGGACAATTGATAATATCATATCATTCATATACACGGCTTTTGCAATGTCATGAATTAATTTCAATTTTAATTAACTTTAATTAAAGAAAGTAGTTGTGTATTATTAAACACAGTGAAACAGACTTTAAATAGGTTATATAATCGTGTATAAACAATTCTTTGTAATATAAACCGAGCCGCTGAACAATTGACTGTTTCTATCAGACTATATAACTTGTCAAAAATACAGTGCAACATGTACAGACCGGCCCTCTGTGCAGCAACTTACTCTTGAAAACAACAGTTACAAGTTTTCCAAAAGTAAGATATCACAATAGATACAACCTCTCTTGAGCAACACCTCTCGGCAACAACCAAAGTATTTGTCGCCCAAAGGTGGTTTGCTTTGAAGAGGTTATACTGTATCTAATAATATACTGAAGTTATTAGAAGTTTTTATTGAATAATGCATTTATTACTCTGTTTCATGCCACATAGGGTCCGGTATTTACAGTTTTATATCACAGAGGATATATTCTGTCGGGTGGAAGAGACGGTATTATTCACTCGTGGCAGTGGGGCAAAGACATGATCAGTGCCGGCTTTATTGAGGTACGAAAACATTCTCTCTGAAAAAATGTCAATTTTTACGATTTTTCATGATCATGAAACTAGAAAATATATTAATGCCACAATATAGACATTTGTTTTAACACGAACTGTACATGCATAAAATGTTAACTGAACAATAATAGATAGGTTAATACAAAAAAGGATGTACATAATTTGCATTTAATATAAAACTCTGTGTTGAATTATTATTGTACAATTACACGTATTTGATTTTTAGATGCCTAAATTAGAAGGGGGTGCTCGAATGCTGTGTTTGACTAAAAGTGGCCTTTTGATTGGAACTACCATGAATTCAATGTTGTCAGTAAAAATATCAGAAACCGACACTCCTTTACAAGGTGCTAAGTTTGACGACACTCCAATAACACAGGTAGGTTTTAACTTTACCATCACGAAAATCATTGAAGAGTTAACAGGTCATCTTTTCTATGTAATATTTTGTAAGTACATATATATTGGTGTATATCTTGCCAAACGATCTTGATAAGTTATTATATTTATGCTGATATGTTAAATGGATTTACTCACGTTGAGCGAATTTATTTATTTATTAAATGATATTATGTTAAGATAAAAAGTATAGCACCCTCAAGACCAGAAATATGCAATTCGCACACTAGATTTTATTCTATATATGGTCAAGAATGCATCATCGCTTACGCCCAATACCACAAGCTTTTCACAATTTACCTTGCATAAAGAAAGACTGTACCTTACTATCAAAGATGTGTTTGTTTGTTCATTTTATGCAATTTTGCTTAATGTGTTTGTATTGTTTTCATTTTTTGTTGAATTGGATTCAAGCTTGGAGAAAGCACATCTCAATCGAGCTTTTGAAACCATTTGACCTACTTTCTTATAAATGTATAATATACTATTTGGTATTCACGTTAATATTCATAACCTAAATTATTCAACTTTAAACAGTACTAGATTTTATTCGATATATGGTCAAAATTGCAACATCCCTTACGCCCAATACCACCAGCTACCAGCTTTTCATACACGAATGTTTTTACAAAGATATAAGTAAAGTGAATAAATATACTAGTATATTGTATTGAATTCACGGTAATATTTATAACATGAATCATTTAATTTTGAACAGTGTCATTATGACGAGCTACGAGGTTTGACCATTGCGCCGGCATGCTCGGCAGATGTCTTCACGGCGGGGCTAGATGGTATATTGTGCGGGTTCGACTCTCAACTTAGGAAGCCAGTATCAAAAGTTCAGTTTAAGGTACGAGAACAAATGTCAGATTTCTTTTAGTAAATGTTGATGTGTTTAATGAGATTAATATTAATGCTGAATAAACCCGTATACCCTACTGAAACCGAAAGTAATTAGATTTTGCTACCAGTCCAGCCTACATATCCACACATACCGTCCTGTTAGCTCAATAGGTAGGACTGTAAATTGGGCGACCTGGGTTCGATTCCCGGACGATGCATGTCACTTTCATTGTGATTCATTTATACGGCCATTCGCACTGTACCTCTGCTGAACCTAGTACTGATAAACTGCTTGACAGCTTGCCCCAAACTCCTCACACTGATTACCTCCCTTGGCAGAATTGTAATCACTGCCTTCACAGACGTCACATGATGATGAAAGTCACATGACGTAACGTCGAAATTCAAATGTAAATATCGACCGTTACATAGAAAATCTAACGTCATTTTTCTCTTTCTGTTTTATTTTTAACTTTTTGTACCTACGTCCGTTATATTTTAACAAAAAATTATCAAAAGTACACAAAATAATGAAAAATAAATTAAAAAACTAAAAAATATAAATATCCAAATTTGGATATTTCAATGTTTGTGATGGCAGAGATCTCTGTACTGATAAGGGGAGATCACTGCGTAGGAGATTGAGCTTGCCCAGGAACGATGCGGTGGTGGTAAGATTAATGTGGCTTACTGCCGTGATTCGTTGGGTAACCACCGCATCCGCTGTATTAAGCTGTATCACTGCGTTTAATAACTACTGTGAAAACTTTTTTTTTGGTTTCCTACAGTCTGGCATAAAACGAAAACAAACTCTATTAAGAATAAAAAAGGAAAATTGTTTTTGCTTGTTGAAATAAGATTTAACTTAAGACTTTATTTAAATAGTCCATTCGTGTCACGTCCTTTTCAAACAATTAAAATTTCAAACTTATTTCAAAATATTCGGAGCGTTTTCCTGTCTCTAATTTTAAAAGATATATGTGTAAATATGTACTTTTAGAGTAACCAGTACCTTTGTGTTGATACCAATGATGTTGGAACACTGTTTTCACTCGGGACTAAAGATGGACAGTAAGTTATTGTTAACAATGACATAATAACTTAAATTCCTGATCGATTATAAAAAATTCTGATCGTTTTTTGAACAGCATCAAATTGCTGGATTGACACTAGGTAAAAAATGTATTTGACACATTGTTTACCGATGTGAACCTCAATTTTGCTGATAGAATAACTGCAATGGATAACCTTTTAGAAGTATAATTATTTAACATATGATATATATAGAAGAAGGGGTTTATTTACAGAAGGAGCAAACGTTTCACATGGAAACTATCAATGTAAATAGTTATTTTGACCAAAGTCCATGAATTATTTTTTTATTACAAGCAATAAGAGCTTGATACATGCTATGGGGGTAAATGAATGGGATTGCCTAGTTAATAAATGCCTAAAAATAACAACAACAACAACAATAATAATAACAACAGCAGCACAAAAAATAACAGCAAATCAACAACGCAACGAAGCAAAAATGAACAAATCAATAGTACATAATATAATATTTCTCTGTTTTATTTAGTTTGCAGATTTTATCACATAATGATGAGGGGACATTTGAAGAGGTGATTAATAGGAAAATATGTAAGGACAGAATCGACTGTATCAAGTTATCACCAGGTAAATTGATGAATATTTTTCTCTTTACCTGCTGAATTTTGTCCAACCTCCATTAATTTTATTTATTTTGGAACTGTCTATTATCACATTCGGGGATTTCAACGTGGGTTTTTTAAATTGTTCAAAGCTATCAACTGGTAAAATGTTGAATATTTTACCCATTTCTTTAAAAGACTTGTCCAGCGTCCATTAATTTATTAATTTTGGAGCTGTCCATTATCACATTTGGGATTTTCAACATGGCATTTTTTTTCAAAGTTATCACTAGGTAAAATGTATTTTACCATTAACTTAACTTGCTGAGTTTCTTTAATAAACTTGTCCAGCGTCCATTTTTTTTGGAACTGTCCATTATCAAATTTGGGGATTTCAGGGTGATTGAAATTTGAATTTTTTTCAACAAACAGTATATAGCCTCTGGATTTGGAAGCTGGTCCGACTCTATAGATTGTTCGCAAGCACTAGCAGCATCTTTGGGTTCCAAAAGCAACCATTTACAAATTTCTCAAGTTGATTTATAACTGATCATTTTATGAATTGCTCGTAATTACAATCTGACTTAAGTTCAGATATACTTATTTATTGCATAGAGCGCTATTTACGAGCTGAATTTAATTGGAGTGTATGCCATCAAGTTATTCAAACTCCTTACAGTGATTATCTCCCTTGGCAGATTGTCTATGTACTGATAAGGGGAGATAACTGCGTAGGAGATTACAAGTTATATGTTGTTTTTTCTTCTCGCAGATTCTAGATGTATAGCAGCAGGGTCGCATGATAGTTGCATTTATATCTTCTCAAACTTGCCCAAAGATGACGGTTCATTAGTTTGGGAATTTGTTGGAAAATTAAAGGTAATGTGTTGATAGATTTTTATGCAAAGGTTAACACCTGAGGCTGGAGTATCGGACACGGGAAGAAAAAATATGACCAGATTGATAAAAAAAATCCTGAATTCATCTTAAATGTGTCAAAACTATTAAAAATATGTGAAATATGAGACCCCTTAAAGATATACTACAATTTAAGAGATGGCCGGGAACTCCAGATTCGAGCCCATAATCAAAGGGTTCATTTCCCGGGTCGTTGTGAAAACAATTCTCCAGACAATTAAATTGTTTTTATCACTATTTTACGTTTGTATTAAGCTTTCAAATGAGACCAACCCCAAGTCTCTAGCCCTTCCCGTTCATGAAATATCTATCAAGAGACGAGGCATTCGTGCTAAAAATCTCCGGTAGACAAAATTGCGGCACAACGATTCGGTACGTAAACATAGACTAATAAATTTTTGTCAGCCGAGTACGGGTCTGGAGTTTCCGGCCTTCACTTAACTTATAGTATATTTTTAAGGTGGCTCATATTTCACAATTTTTTTTTAGTTTTTGGCACATTTAAGTTGAACACAGGGGCTTTTTTTATCAATCTGGTCATATTTTTCTTCCCAGGTCCAATACTCGTACCTGTGGTTAACCCTTGTCTACTTTAATGTCCTTCAATTTGGAACGGTGTAATATTTATTTGAAATAATTTTGTATTAAATCTGCTAAATTTAAGCAGACGACGGTGCAGAGCATGATCACAATACAGCTGTCATTGGTTATCTTGAATTGCCGTCATTACCATTCTAAGAATAAAACATAAAAAATGCCAGGAAATAAAGAATAATAAATCTTACAAAATTAACGGTTCACAAGTGTTTTTGTTTAAATCTACCATAAATTGTGTTTGTAACGTGTTACCGGTTATTTTAATTTACTTTGGCAAGTAAGAATGATGTTTTAGTTTTAACATAATAATCTATATTTAAGTTCGGTTGTGAAACTGATATAATTAATCACTTTAGAGTCCGTTTTCTTTAACTAGCCAATATAAGTTCAAAATGAGGAAACATGATCGTGCTCGAGCCAACGACACCGTGGTTTAGTGGCAGATACAAAAAGTAACCATTAGATCACCGTCCCCCCACCCCCCTAGTAAGACGCGTTAAAAAACGTACATAAGATAGAAATCGCTTTATTTGGTAAATTATTTTATTGCTCATAAGGAAATAGTATATTAAAAAGCATTCTTTTAAAATAATTTGATTGCCATATACATGTAATTTGAATATTAATTTGATATGATTTTAAATGTGTGAGGTATAGTGAACAAAAAAATGTCGTATGGTTTACAGGGTCATTCTGGTCCGGTCAACGGTTTAGACTGGTCAACAGAAAAATCTGCAGACGACGATTATATGCTAAGGTCAAGCCTTTTCTAGGGAAAATTTTAAGTATGTAAGTTTTTAAAAAACAAATTTATTAAATTTGGGGTAGTTTTTGTAGGCCTAAAAACTATTTGAATCAATTAATTGATAAATTTTTATGCCAAACCAAAAATCAAGGTGGGGACTAAAAATTTTTAATAAACCTAAAAAAGAATGATATTAGAAGCAAGGTCTGGCGAAATGAAATTGAAACTTCAAAGTTTGTAACAAAAGTATGTTTAATTTTTAAACTTCATTAGGTCTTAATGACAACACCATTAAATTTAGGGCATAAAGGAGACAGGTATAATGGGTGATTTGGTGCACTGCGCATTGCGTTGTCGTTATCGCTTTTTGACGTCTAGTCGCTAGCGAAACGCGCCAAACTTCGCGTTGTCACACTGCCGTCGTGTCCTATCGCCAAACCGCGCGTTGTCGAGATGTCACCCTGTCGCTTGGCTTATATATACAAATACAGCCAATCCTTCGATTTGAGCCGAGCGACAATGTGACATCGCGACAACACTCCGCATGACAACGCGTTGTTTGGCGCTTTGTTATGCTGTCGCTAGCGAAAATCGTTTCTGAGGCATATGTGCCTTTAAGCGATATATCTTTCTTGATTTACTTTTCCAAAATGGTTGCATATAGCTCTCATTGGGCAAATAGGTAGAACAAGTTTGAAGTTCAGTGTAGGCCTAAGATACGATTTAAAGCTAGGTCTAGACCTTTCTAATTTTTTTTATTCAAACAGGGCGACCTGCAACACTCGAAGTCTTCAGCAAACAAGACGTTATTCATAAGGCCAGGTGGATGACGCATTCGGTCATGGTTGAACTTTCAATTGCTGGAATTATGACGTCAAAATTTTTGAAGAATGCAGATATGACGTCACTAGACGTTAAAGCGACAGAAAACTTAGCAGCATGTGGTGATACCTCAGGAAACCTTAGATTTTATCGGTATCCATGCAGCTTGAGTGGGGTAAGTATACAACTAACAGACTGACTTAAAAAGATTTTTGTAAGTGTCAATTTAATTAGTTTGAGAGAAGAATCTAGATTAATTTTTAGATGTTATGTTTAAATGAAAGTTCAAGAGATCCATGTTATGTTTGAATCAGGCGCCAAGAATAATTTCCTTGTTCCTTATGTCCAAAGCTACCCCACCCAGGACTTTTGGCATTACTTGCCATTCTAAGTATTAATAGACATCACCTTCTTACACAAGTTATCGTTATCAATTTTGATCAAACAGACAAGTGCACTTGTTACATATTCGTTCGCAAAAAAGTGTGTTTTGAGGAAAACAAAACTATGCAATCGCAGGCAGCTACTTTTTTAAGAAGGTTCAAACAGAACCTCGATAATCTAGATGGTCTGAATGCACTCCAAATCTAAAATAAAATCATTTCATTTTTGTTACGTTTTCATTTTCGTTGTTTCAGACATTTTGCCATTCGTACCGGAGTCATGCCAACATGCATGGTATAAGATATACTGCCAATGGAAAATATGTCATGACGGTAGGGGGTCGGGACTCTTGTTTAATGCAGTGGGAGATAGTTTGATATCCTACCGGTGAAATATGACAATTTTTGTGCAAATACTCACATTTGTTTTACCGTATACAGTAAGATGATATTGTTGGCCGAGTTTTAACTCTTACTAACAATGTTTAGTCCTATACGATGACATAACAGCTTAAACTGGCGAAGGAAGAATCAATCAGAAGTGCCCAATGAAATTTTTTTTTCAGGCATAAGTTTTAACTCTAACCATTTGACAATATTTAGTTCCGTACGGTGAAATATCTGCTTAACTGGTAAAAGAAGAATGGACCTTTGAAAGTGCCCTCCTTTGACATTATTTTCAGGCACAAGCGAGCATTGGATTTAACACTCTAATCAGTAGGATATTGTTTATAACTCACTAGGGAGATATCGTTTATATATAGATTCTAATACTCATTTGTTTTGTGATATATTGAAAGTTTGAAAAACTAAATGCCGGAAAAGCACATATCATTTCTATACAACATGTTGTTTTTGTAATAAATAATTTTAAATATAGTGTGTTTCTGTTCAGTTTTCTTTATTTAGTTAATGCAGCAATGACCTACTCTATGAACTGTTTGTTTGTTTATTTTGAAAACAAGGCAGACACAATGTGAACATTTATAAAACATAATCTGTTTTATATAATCCAATGCAAGAATGTATACATACTGATAAAGTATTTCTGCCTTTTTCAATAAGAACGAATATCGCTTACTTTCGAGTTTTTGTTAATAAAAGTAGGACGTCTTAAAAGAAATCTACAATGACATAGATGTGACATTTGCAGTTTTAATTATCTCGTGGCCACGACTTATTATCTTTAGGCCTCAAGATATTATCTCGTGGCCACGACATACTATCTCGTAGAATTCATTAATCTTGTCATATATTTTTTTTTTGAAATACATGTTATGTTGGGACAACCATCTACGTTCTGAATAGTAGTTGGGGATTCACGCGAATAACCAGCGGAGTCCCCTGGCCAATTAACACTGAAGGGGGTGTTACCGTAGTAAAGACAACATATATCTTGTTATTTCACCGTAACATTTGTTTCAGAAAAATATGTTCTGTTTTTTCAGAGGAATCTATACAATATCCTATTTACCAACTACCTTGTAAAAGGTAGTTCGGTATTCGCGCGAATAATCAACTGAGTACTCGGGTGGACATAGGGAAACAGGGAGTTTCAATGTTGAAGAACTCATTTATCTTGCTTTATTTGTTTCAGCTTGCTTATTGTTAATTTTCTAATTAACGGAACGTGGCTTTTATCTGGTATGGTTTATTTCTTTTGCTTGTAAACAGTCTTGTTTTCTTTTTACTACTCTTTGTGTAAAGTTCTTTATCATAACCCCTTCGAGCAAGGATACGAATATCAGCCGTTGTAAAACACTTTAGACCTTAGCGCTATATTAACTATTAAGGTGTGAAAATTTAATATAATTACTCAATATATTGGACAATAATGTGATAATGTATATAGGAACTTCCAAAATAATAGAAATCAGAGCGGGCGCTGTGGTGCAGTGGTAACACTGTGTGACTACAAATCTAGGGGTTGCGAGTTCGATCCCCCCGCTACTCAACTAAAATTTCTGACAATATTTCAAGACGTTTGTAAAAGGACACTACTCACACACTGGACACTACTTACATACTGACTCACAGGACACAACTTACAAACTGACTCACAGGTTACAACTCACACACTGACTCACAGGATACAACTCACACAATGACTTACAGGACATTACACACACACTGACTCACAGGACACAACTCATACACTAACTCGCAGGACACGTCTCACACAATGACTCACAGGCACAACTCAAACACTGACTCACAGGACACAACTCACACACTGACTCACAGGACATAACTCACACAATGACTCACAGGACACAACTCACACACTGACTCACAGGACATAACTCACACACTGTCTCACAGGACACTTCTCACACAATGACTTTAAGGCACAACTCACACAATGACTCACAGGACACAACTCACACAATGACTCACAGGATACAACTCACACACTGACTCACAAGACACAAATCACACACTGACTCACAGGACACTTCTCACACAATGACTCACAGGACACAACTCACACAATGACTCACAGGACACAACTCACACAATGACTCAAAGGCACAACTCATACAATGACTCACAGGACACAACTCACACACTGACTCACAAGACGCTTCTCACACAATGACTCAAAGGCACAAGTCACATACTGACTCACAGGACACAACTCACAACTAACTCACAGGACACAACAGACACAATGCCTCACAGGCATCGGAACTGCCTCGGCTATTATCTATAATAACTTATCCTTAGACTGACGGAAAGGGCCGAGTAGTTGCGATTGCCGCCGTACAAGCATCAGCTCTTCCCGTATACTTCGGATTTATGAGAAGATCAGATTCATGAGATTGCGTACACAAATTAAAATACAATACGAGTCTGACTGCTTAATTTTCTGCCTATCTCGAACTAGCGAAATAAATCCAAACAGATTACATAAAAAATGGTATGGACATGATGATGTACAATTATGACAAATTGAAACTGTCAATAATGTTATGTTAGAATAGAAATTCTTATTTAAGATGTTGATTTTAGTGCGCTATTTTTTTGCGTTTTTTTTTTGTTTGTTTGTTGGTTTGTTTAATTTTTTTTCTTTTTGCTTTTTCGGGAATTTTAAGACGAATTCAATTTACATTCCATGGAGTATAATATATGGCGTGTTTATAAACTCTCGGAGCATAAAATAAGACATGACGTGACTTGACATGAACTAGATGTTGACTTGATAACAACATGGAGTTTCAAAATTGTTACTTAATTTAGGATCAGGTGATAGGAAGACAAAATTATGATAAAAATCATATGATATAAATATATTTCTGTATTAGTATCAAGAAAGCACTAAACAGTTAAAGATTTTTTGCACCAAATAATATACATGTGACCATGTCAATAAAAGTTAAATACACAGGAGAAATGTATGTGCTGTAATAGAAAAGATAACAATTTGAAACCTTAAGTCAGTTCATTCAGTAACAAAAATGATTAGAGCAAAAAGTATATAACGTTTCTAACATAAAATTATAAAAAGAAAATTTAAATTCAATGCAACATTGCAATGACAGAAAAAGAGGAAAATGTAAAAAATGAACAAAAAGTTTAAGTTTGTTTCCTATAAATACAGGATATATTTTCACATTGTGATATGAAAATTATCATATTTCATTCGTGGCTACAGCCACTCATGAAATATTCATTTTCATATCACTCAAAGAAAACAAATATAGAAATCCATCGAATATCCTTTATAAAATATATTTCTAGTGAAATATCAGTTAAATTTCTAGTGAAATATCAGTTAAATTTCTAGTGAAATATTAGTGAATATTTCTAGTGAAATATCAGTGTATATTTCTAATGAAATATCAGTGACAAGGCTTAATAATTCATTCGATTTCATGGGGGTTGCGGCGCAAGCGCCTTTAATACTTGAAATTCATTAGACTTCCTATCGGTTACTTATCGGTTACTAAACTTATTTCGCGATATCGGTTTACAAAACTTATTGTGTAAATTTTTTTTTTCTATCGGAAATCACTGACTGTTGGTTTTGGACAAGGAGGAAGGGGATGGGTGGGATAAATATAAATTTTCGAATTACCAATACTTCGGTGTACGCCATGTTCTTAAAATTATTTCACGGCGTCTCAACGCCGTGATATTGTGATGGGTAGTTTTCGGTAGCATGGGCAAAAGTCACGTGACAAAATGCCTTTCGATTTCTACAGCCGACATTTTATTGTTTTTACGCAATCATTGTACAGCCCATTTCTGTGAAAAGTTACATAGAAACAGTTTGTTTTTTTTCAAAACCATATAGAATCTAAACAGTATTTGTATCAACACACGAAATATCAGCGTTTTATATTAACACATTAATTCCGGACATCCTTTCGACATGCTTGAGAATGGATTATGTATGGTGGCTGATTTACGCCATCCGTATATTTTCGCGTCTTCGCCTCAAAATGCGAACACACGAAGGGACGACATATTTTGACTAATGTGTTCTCATGTCGGATCTATGTCTCTCCCAGAGTGAATCTTTTCACGTGTAAAATGTCTTTGAACATTACATTCCTAACTTCTCAAGGGATTGAGATAGAGTTAAAGGCTTTTCAGCGTTGGTTACACGTTATCTTATGATCGACCTGGGGTCATTTTTAGCCTCTCACAAGTCCAAAATTTTCTTGGCGATGAGGGGAGCTCCGCGTTGTTTCGCGTATATACGAGGTAAAGGGTTAAATCAGTTTTTACCACATCAAACTTTATTCAGAATTCATGTCTCGTTATTGTGAGCAAAATTCTGAGTTTCCTTTAGATATGAGCAAAAAAATGTTTTATTAACCCCAGCCGAAAAGACGGTGGGGGATATAGAATTAGTCTCCATCCGTCCGTCTGTCCTTCCGTCCGCCCCTCTACATTTTTGTCCGGAGCATATCTCAAAAAGTATCAGTTTGAAACTTTGTAGGTGGAGGTATCAACTTGAAACTTCATTGGTGGATAAATCATATTTAGGACAAGTGCAGTGCACAAGAATGATAACTCTACGCTGCATTTTTTTTTCATTATTGCCCTTTGTTATTCTTCAAACTCAATTTTTGTCCACAGCATAACTCGAAAAGCCTTTGAGATATCAACATGAAACTTCATAGGTGGATAGGTCTCGCTCAGGAGGTGTGCAATGTGATAACTCTAACATTCCTAAATTTTGAGTTATTGCCCTTTGTTAATTTTCATGCTTATTTTTTCACCTGAGTGGAGCATTAATTAACTAAAAAAACTTTAAGATGTCAATGTAATCTTCATAGGTAGATAGATCTTTTTGAGGATGAATGTTGTGCGAAAGAATGATAACTCTACCCTTTATAATTTTTGAGGTATTGTCATTTGTTATTTTCATACTTTTTGTGCGGAGAATATCTAAAAAAGTGTTAGAGGTAACAACTGGAAACTTCATAGGTGGATAGCTCTTTTTGATGAGAAGTGCAGCACATTAGAATATTAACTAACCGTGCATTATTTTTCAGTTATTGCCCTTTGTTATTTGTCATACTTAATTTTGTCCGGGGTGTAACTACAAAAGCCTTTGAGATATGTACATGAACCTTCAAAAGTGAATAGATCTCACTCAGGTGGTATGCAGTGCAAAAGAGTGATAACTCTACCCTTCATAATTTTTAGTTATTGCCCTTTGTTATTTTTCATACTAATTTTTTCACCTGAGTGGAGCATATCTCTGAAAAAGTCTTTGAAATGTCAACATGAAACTTCATACGTGGATAGATCTTTTTGAGGAGGAATGTTGTGCGCAAGAATGATAACTCTATCCTTTATAATGTTTGAGTTATTGCCATTTGTTATTTTTCAAACTTTTTGTCCGGAGCTTATCTAAAAAAAGTGTTAGAGGTAACATCTTGAAACTTCATAGGTGGATAGATCTTCTTGGGGAGCATTGCAGCACACTAGAATGATAACCTACCGTGCATTGTTTTTTTCAGTTATTGCACTTTGTTAACTTTCATACTTTATTTTTGTCAAGGGTATAACTACAAAAGCATTTGAGATATCAACATGAAACTTCATAGGTGGATAGATCTTACTCAGGAGGTATGCAGTGCAAAAGAGTGATAACTCTACCCTTCATAATTTTTGAGTTATTGCCCTTTGTTATTTTTCCATACTATCTTTTTCACCTGAGTGGAGCATATCTCTGAAAGTTTTTGAAATGTCAACATGAAACTTTATACGTGGATAGATCTTATTGGGGAGGAATGTTTTGCGCAAGAATGATACCCTTTATATTTTGTTAGTTATTGCCATTTGTTATTTTTCATACTTTTGTCCGGAGCTTATCTCGAAAAGGTGTTAGAGGTATCAACTTGAAACTTATTAGGTGGATAGATCTCATTGAGGAGGAGTGCAGCACACAAGACATTTAACCTACCGTGCATTATTTTTCAGTTATTGCCCTTTGTTATTTTTCATACTTAATTTTGTCCGGAGCATAACTACAAAAGCCTTTGAGATATCAACATGAACCTTCATAGGTGGATAAATCTCACTCAAGAGGTATGCAGTGCACAAGAATGATAATTATTCTGCTCTACTACATAAACATGACTCTTGTAACAAGTTACATTATGATATTTTAAAACCTTCTGAACAAGTTAACATGTCAATTCAACACAATGCTATTTGGAGATACCTTATCAATATATTTGAAACTGTTTTTTGTTGTTGTTTTTTTTTTTGTGTGGGGGGGGGGGTGTTTTTCGCCGTGACAATCATATTGCTGCATTTCCCAGCAATTTTTTACTTGTGGTACTATAAGTGATTAGTTATTAACTTATTATTACTGAGTGAACAAGTATTTTGTATGGAAGTCAAAATACTACTTTATTTTACATTTTGCTACCTTTACAACATATAACTGCCTTTTAAGAATTACTTTCTTGTGCTGTGAAACATCTTACTAACTGTTAATCCATTATTAAAAACATTATAAAATATATGTTTGATATTTCTAATGAATGCAATGAATAAGGATGTGCCTTTAAGCTGAATTTGCTAATGATTCACGGCCATATGGCAAGTATATAAAATATTCTTGTCAAGCAATTTTGTGCGTATGTGTACGCAAACATGAAAAAAGTAAATGATTATGTAAATATTGAAACCATTGCGGTCCTTTCCTCCTTCGTTCCGGACCGTTCCGGGGTCCGTATTTTTTGCTGTTTTAACCCTGGTTACGGAATTTTGTTATCTCTTATTGGTTTTAACTTTATAAGGAAATAACAAACTTGTGTACGCAAATCTTCTAATCTTTTAAAAGCCACTGCGCAACACTATTGATTCTTTATGTCATTTATTTTATATCGTTAAAGTGCAGTTTAAACACAGATTTAGGTTAAGATCCAAATTCACACAAAACATTTAAAATGTGAAAATGTTTTGCTAAAGTGCAAAACTACATTGTATGTTCGTGACGTAAGCAATACTCTATCAGTATCGTATCGAGAAGAAAGCTTAGTATACTAGTGTTCTGTTAGAAATGTTAGAGTGTTCATTGAGTGATTTTCCCGAGGTATGAGGAATGCTCAGTGAGTAACGTTCTAGCGGTGTGAGTAGAATTCCATGAGTAATTTTAAAGTCCTCGAGACTATTTTCGAGGTGTGAGAAATACACAATTTAATGAGTAACGTTCACTAAGTGTGAATAGTGTTTTCAAGTGTTCATTGAGTTATGGGAAATGCTAAACGAGTAACGTTCTCGAGATGTGAGAAGTGCTTATTGAGTTACGTTCACGAAGTGTTAGGTGTATCCCGTTTGTAATGTTTTAATGATCATTGAGTTACGGCCCCTAGGTGTGAGAAATGCTAAATGAGTTACGAAGTTCACGAAGTGTTCGGAGTATTTCCTTTGTAATATCCAAGTGCTCATTGAGTTACGGCCCCTAGGTGTGTGAGAAATACTAAATGAGTTACGTTCACGAAGTGTTAGGTGTATCCCGTTTGTAATATTCTAATGATCATTGAGTTACGGCCCCTAGGTGTGTGAGAAATGATAAATGAGTTACGTTCACGAAGTGTTAGGGGTATTCCCTTTGTAATATTCAAGTGCTCATTGAGTTACGGCCCCTAGGTGTGTGAGAAATGCTAAATGAGTTACGTTCACGAAGTGTTAGGTGTATCCCGTTTGTAATATTCTAATGATCATTGAGTTACGGCCCCTAGGTGTGTGAGAAATGCTAAATGAGTTACGTTCACGAAGTGTTAGGAGTATTCCCTTTGTAATATTCAAGTGCTCATTGAGTTACGGCCCCTAGGTGTGTGAGAAATGCTAAACGAGTTACGTTCACGAAGTGTTAGGAGTATTCCCTTTGTAATATTCAAGTGCTCATTGAGTTACGGCCCCTAGGTGTGTGAGAAATGCTAAATGAGTTACGTTCACGAAGTGTTAGGAGTAATCCCTTTGTAATATTCAAGTGCTCATTGAGTTACGGCCCCTATGTGTGTGAAATGCTAAATGAGTTACGTTCACGAAGTGTTAGGGGTAATCCCTTTGTAATATTCAAGTGCTCATTGAGTTACGGCCCCTATGTGTGAGAAATGCTAAATGAGTTACGTTCACGAAGTGTTAGGGGTATTCCCTTTGTAATATTCAAGTGCTCATTGAGTTACGGCCCCTATGTGTGAGAAATGCTAAATGAGTTACGTTCACGAAGTGTTAGGAGTAATCCCTTTGTAATATTCAAGTGCTCATTGAGTTACGGTCCCTAGGTGTGTGAGAAATGCTAAATGAGTTACGTTCACGAAGTGTTAGGAGTAATCCCTTTGTAATATTCAAGTGCTCATTGAGTTACGGCCCCTATGTGTGTGAAATGCTAAATGAGTTACGTTCACGAAGTGTTAGGAGTAATCCCTTTGTAATATTCAAGTGCTCATTGAGTTACGGCCCCTATGTGTGAGAAATGCTAAATGAGTTACGTTCACGAAGTGTTAGGGGTATTCCCTTTGTAATATTCAAGTGCTCATAGAGTTACGGTCCCTAGGTGTGTGAGAAATGCTAAATGAGTTACGTTCACGAAGTGTTAGGAGTAATCCCTTTGTAATATTCAAGTGCTCATTGAGTTACGGTCCCTAGGTGTGTGAGAAATGCTAAATGAGTTACGTTCACGAAGTGTTAGGGGTATTCCCTTTGTAATATTCAAGTGCTCATTGAGTAACGGTCCCTAGGTGTGTGAGAAATGCTTAACGAGTTACGTTCACGAAGTGTTATGACTATTCCCTTTGTAATATTCAAGTGCTCATTGAGTAACGGTCCCTAGGTGTGTGAGAAATGCTTAATGAGTTACGTTCACGAAGTGTGAATAGTATTCCATGAGTTATATTTAAGTGCTAATCAAGATTTGTTCGCGAGGTGTGAGGAATGCTCAGTAATGTTCTAGATGTGTGAGCAATGTTTCGTTCCAAGTTCTGTTCTCGAGGAAATTGTTAGTAGTATATGAAATTCTAAATCGTGGTGTGAGTAACTGTGAATGAACCGAAAAGAGGCGATTGGATTTGAGACTCATGAAATGTATTATTTTACTATAATTATGTTTCATGAAAAACCATTTTTCACTTGTTAAAAACGCCATGTTGACCCTCTATAGTGTTGACACTATCCCAAAAGTATAGAAAGTTTCTATCGCGCTAAATGTTTGCATATTTACAAGTCCTTTTTACGGAATTGTCGGAGAAAGACGAGTTAGAGCATGTATGCAAGCCGCCATATTGGTAGTTTCCCATATAATGACATCACAATGGAAAACACCCTCTCGCGTAAAGAAAAAATGTACATATACTTGAAAAAGGTATAAAAAGGGGATAATTACGATATTATCCGACATAAGTCGATGTCTACCGATTCATAATTAGGGTTAGTACTCCTCAGGCAATCGGAACGTCCTCGGTTATTATCTATAATAGATGACGGAAAGGGCCGAAAAGTTGCGATTGATCCTCATGTAGTGGCATTTTCTACTATTTATACTTTCGTATAAAGATATATAAGATACATTAGGGATACAGAACAGAGATAAAAAGATGAACTTTAACACATGTATTCAAAGATTATTATTAACAAAACTTGGGATGACATTTATTTTCCAAATAAACAACAATTCTCTCCACTGTAATGGCCCGTGTCCTTCAACGTGTTCATGAATGCATTGACTGAATCCATGTCCAGACTGCCGTGATCAAGTGCCGTTTGTATCTCCTTCAACCAATGGTTGATCTTATCTTGTGTCACGTGACCTTCGTGTATGTCATGCATTATATGATCCATGAGATGATGTGAATGCGCCGCTCGAAAATGTCCAACTGATGGATCTTCTTCCGAATCCTTAGTATCTAGGTCAGAAGGCGGTCTTGGGTCACGTTTTGGGCGGAGCAATGGCACTTGTACATTGACATCTAGATTTTCTGCTCTCGTGTTGTCATCTTGTTCTCGTGCCAACATTTCTGAAAGTAATTTTGAATTACTTTAAAGTTAACGATCTCTTCGAACCACCTTTTGTAAAGGAAAAAAAATTATTATGGAGCGATTCTGTATTCCTATTGTTTTAACGCTCACATCAAATAGATGTTTTCTGTCATTCGTTCTTAGCTTTGTGTAAAATTTATACACCAAAAGCTCATTGTGCTATAGACTATAGTATTTGATATAACATGTTTTAAGTAAGATACTAAAACAGAAGTAATATGAATTATTTTGTAATGACATTTAAATATGAGTATCGTTAATATAAAAGGTAGAACATCATACTTTTTATAGCTACAGTTTCGATTGGTCAGGGAGGATTTCTTTTGGATTTATTAAATTATGCCCAGAAATCACATGCTGTAAGTGATAAATGCCAACTATTTAAGGACGTGCATTTGGACTGAATGCTCGGTAAAGTCAAGTTTAAATTTAGATCTGAGGGATAATGTTTTTAAAAACGTGAAACATGTATTTAACATGAAATTATTTCTGAAGTCAATTTTAAGTTCCAGTGACTGGCGTGAAACATGCATTTCTGTGGAGGACACCTATAAAATATTTTTGTAAAGTTTTTATCAAAATATGAATATTATGGTTAAGAAGAGGACTTTTGGAAGACTTTCAAAAATTATGGATCCCTCCGCACGACTTACATTACGTTATCACAATGCTAAAATGCTTTGAAAGAACTTAAAAATTGTTTTATCGTTGTTTCTACAGAAAAAAAAAGAATCCAGTAATACAAACATGCCCTTTAAAAGCCAATATGCTTTATTTGCTCACCGAATTTTTGTTATCAGTTAAATTCAATTTAAAATTCAATTCATTTTAATTTTTTGTAGCACAAACTTTAGACTTGTACAATGAAACTTTCAAGAATTTAGGACAAACTGATAAAATTGTGTGGTGACAGGGGATTTCATGCATGTAGGTCAAGGCCAAGTTCATTACCTTAAAGGATGTTTTGTAACAGTGTTGCATACGTCGAGAACGTGACTAAGTTCAAAGGTCATTGTTATTTCTCACGGTCAAGAAACCGAATTTTTGTTACGTTTGTAAGTCAGGGCAGATTATTGACCAGAGGTCTATAGTTACTAGAGATTAATGCAGATCAAATGTACCAATCTGTGTGGTCCAAATAGATTTGTCTTATCTCTGTATATACTAATACCCAGGGCATGTTATAAAACATTGTTTTATATATAACATATAAATAAGAACATGTAGTACTCTTTTGAACCTCTGAACGCTTACAGTCGTTAATTAAGATAATTTAACAGTGAACATGTAAAATGAATAATGGCAGAAAATGCCTGTTTTAAGGGACAAATGTCATTGTTTGCGTATAAACTGTACATTTTGAAAGACGAATGCCATTTATTTTACATTTTTTTACAAAGGAAATATATGTTGTAAGAGACAAATGTCACAAATGTCATTGTATCTGAGAAAATAAAATGCTGTAAGGGACAAGTGCCATTTTTGCCCGTAAGAAACGAATGTCATTGTCTGTAAGGGAAGAATGTCATTGTTTGCCCAGAAAAAAGTCAGTGGTAAAAGGAAAATGTCATTGTGAACACGGAAAAAGTATCATGTTGAAAAGAATGTCATTTTTTTACACAGAAAATGTGTAAGAGACGCAACATGTCATTGTTTCCTACGAAAATAAATATTGTAAGGGTCGAATACCATTTTTATTTTGCTCAGAAAAAATCAGTTGTAAGAAACGAATGCCATTGTTTCTACAGAAAATGTATATTCTGAGTGACAAATGTTATTGTTTACAAAGAAAATGTATGCTGTTAAAATTAAATGCCATTTTTTGCTAAAAAAATGTCTGCTATCATTTTTTGCATGAGTGTCGATCGTGTCAGATAAGATAAGCTTTTTTAATATCCGCTTTGTTCAATATGGTGAGCATTGCAATATTTATCAAGGGAGCTCTAGTTCGAACCCCTGGCGAGGCGTAATTTCTCCGTGAAACTTGATCTCGGACATTGGTTCTAATGGTCATTTGTCTCTCACCGCAGATTCAGAAATCCTGTGAGATTAGTAGCCGGTCACTTGCGTACAGAAAATTGCTAACAATTGGAAAGTTATCCAGAAAAAAATCGTTCGGTGGATCGACGGCCGGAGCATGGCCAAAATGTGTTAAAATCTTTGTAAAAAGCAGGGAAACAACATATCAGACACAGGCAAAATTTTCATTTCTTCGTTTTAAATTTTTCATTCATTATTCTGTAAATGTCCTCAAAATAAATACACTAGGCAGTCACAGGAGCAAAACTTTTCTTCTAATAATGAATAATATGTCGGTTTCCTAACTTGACCCGCGTGGGTCAGGTTAGAGCGTTAAAAATTCACAAAAGTTGTCACAGTGAACTCTGGAAACGTCAATAAGCAAGTGTAATGAATTGTTTAGACTTGTTTTGATCATACAATTTCCACAATATCTGTTATTGAAACTTCCAGGGTTTGTCCAAGTAACATAACTTGTTTTTTTACTACTCGGAGATTCTGTCGGCGTCTAAATTTCGTTCCACATATATAGATATTTTTATGCTCCAAACCCAAAATATATAGAATTGATACAGAAATTCATGCTGGGGTTTTAAGAAAATGTCGTTTTAGCTTGATTTGAGTACATAAGATCATTTTAATATTTTTGTCATTAATTTGCCTGAGTATCTCTTTAATGTTTTACTTTATACAGCTTCAGCCATAATTTTGATCAAATAAACGTTATAAATGCAGTCTATGACATTCGTGTCTTACAAAAAATGTTCTGTGCAAACCATGTCATTCATTAAAAATAATAATAATCATAATAAATATAATAAAAATAATAATAAACGTCACTGACCTATAAGACTTTGTGAAATAACACGATTTTCATAGCCCCTCGGCATCACCAGCAACAGTAGTCCAATAACAACAATACTCTTCATTTTTTTTTACGTTTTAAACTCAGAGTTCATAGATATACGTCCGTATTCTCAGCTTGAATGAACTTTTGGAGAGAAAAAAATCACCAAAGTTCACGTATTTTCTCCACGCGTCCGTAGCATCTCGCCTATTTGGTTCAATGTTTACAAATACGTAAATGGGCTTGATAAGAGCGGATATGTTTGGTTTGTAAAAAGCCCCGTGTGAAATGCAAAAGTTGAACGTTCAAACGGAATAGAAATTTATTGGGTCAACAAAATGTCAAATTTGAAAACAAGATAACCAAATTGCAAACGCAATTTATTTATTAGTATAACAACGATGGTACTTATTAAAATATGTACACAGATATAAAAACAAAACAAAAAACAACTTTCCATAAATTCTGCACCCTTGTTTGTCCATTACCTTTCTTTAACGTCATCGAAATATTTCAGAATTTAATTCTTACTAAAGTGGATGGCAAGTTACGTAAAATATGTTTAACTTAACATAAAGGGAATGAATGTTAAATTTTTAATGATAATTTCTACTAAATACAATAACACTGAATAGTTAATATTGATTTTTTTCTGTTCACTACTAAGTATATTAATATAGACATTTTAGAACATAGTACAATTCAGATGAATTGAATTCTGAGGTCTCCATGACTGAAGTGTTTTGTGTATTAACTTATATATATTTCGTTTTTAACCTTTTTAAATTTTCATTCTAACATGCTTCACACTATTACATCATTACACGATATGACTTCAATAACCCAAATGACGTCAGCAAAATAACTTTTTATTTTCATGTTAGAATGTAAATATGTATTAAAATTTCTTGCACTACTGTAAAGTATAAATGTGCACGGTTTATCGTTCAAATGCTTATTTATTTAAACGATCAGGCCTTTTTGACCTTCGTATTTATATTCCTCAACATTTGAACTCGAACCGTGCATAACTCTGTACAACAATGCACTCAAAATTGTTCCCTAAACAAAATTATTTAAAGTGCTGTCAACTTCGACTTCTTCGTATGGATGCGAAATGTGGGAATTACTGACTTACTATGTATACCCTGAAGAACCGAAGCACGCCCAAATAACAAGGTATTTCTTCATTGTTTATGGCTAACTACGTGTTTGCATAAAAACCTATTATTGAACTTTGTTTTTTATTGAATATTTCTCGATTCAAATGTCATTACTTTAAAAAAAATTGTTAAAAGTTGCACCGCAATGATGACTTCATACTTGAACTACCTTTAATTACTATTACATATACATGTAGATCTAAGATTATATTGACATATATATTATTTACGGTTTTCTTGCATACATTGATATGATTTTTATATAGATCTATAAATTTTGTTTCTACAGAAGAGCGTGAAATGTGAAAATTGGCTTATAATATTATAAAGTAAAATAAGGTATTTTCGCGAGGTCAACATTTCGTGAATGCGACATTTCTGACTAATTGGCGATGTTAAATATTCCCGAATTCCTTCTTTCAATGGTGTTTAGCGGACGTTTATTTTTCGCGAAAATCTTCTATTTCCAAAATTAACGAAAATTTGCCCCTGGCGTTTAGCGGACGTTTATTTTTCGCGAAAATCTTCTATTTCCAAAATTAACGAAAATTTGCCCCTGGCAAAATGTCGGATTTTACAGAATCTAAGTAATGTTTTAACAAATATTGTTCATACTTATTACGGAGTGGATACTACGTTCCAGTGTGTGCAATAATTAGCTTTATCACACACCCGTGCCGATTTTGCGACTCCGTAAATATGGTATTGCACGGCCGTGCATATATTTTGACGTGACGTCATTAGCGTTATACAAACGTAGTGTAAAGACGCGCTAAATGTTAGCGTTATACTATAGGCGCGTCATGAAAAATGACTCTTATTTCACTTTAAACAGTCTTTATTTTGGGTATGTGATAAATAGAATATTAAATTCGTGTAAGTTCATTACTGAAGTTATTGCACTCGTTGAATAAAATAATATTACGCTCGCCAGAGGCTCGCATAATATAATTTTATTCAACTCGTGCAATAAATTCAATATTGAACTTACACTCATTCAATATCCTCTATGAATGCAATTCAAGTCAAAAACCTATACTTTGTATCACATTGTATAGTAATTTATATATTACTTTTATATCTAAAGCTGTCAATGAAAATGACTTAAGAAAAGTCATTCAGATATGTTATTTTTTCCATAATTAATTATCACACATTAAAACAACAACAACAACAACAAAACAACATAACTTATAATTAACTAGAATATACTCTAGTAAGATGAATAAACACGAAAGGCCCCTGAAAGTGTTTGAAAATTCCTAAATAAGAATACGAAAATCACCTCCCAAATGCACTGTAGTCTAAATTACAGTATTACATAATCGGACACAATATTTCATGGAAGGTATTCATAGTAGTGACAAATGCACGTTATCATCCACTTCCTATCTGACTAGTAAAGTGAAATACTTCTATAAGCCCTATAAGGATATTTACCAAAACCTTATCAAATGTTTATAAAAAAAAAACATTCCAAACAAGCATGCCTTGTTTCAGTGAGAACATCTTACAACTTGAGATAGAATTTTGTCAATTTTCACAGATAAAGATAATTTTGTCCTCTAAAACTATCACGATTTAAGAGATCACGTCATATGTGTAAAGGCGTGTGTCACGTTTTGGGCCGAAGTTCGAATGCTTTTCTCATGTCGTAATGTGACAGTTTACTATTTAGCTCGATTCCGTGAACTTGTACAATGTATTTAAAGGCCCATTATGACACAGAAATGCTATCTTTTTTTCTTCTTAAAAACTTCTTTTTTTTTGGTACCATGTAACAGTTTCCAAACATAGTTTTATTTTCCAATATGCATATTAACTATATTTTGATGGTTTTGTTATATTGGCAATTTGTATAATTATATATAGTGAGTAAGTATTTTGTATGAATGTGAAAATACATTACTTCATGTTCAGCGCTACTTCATTATCATCTTACATGATAGCTGTTAATCCATTAATAAAACATTTTAAACACATGTTAGACATTTTTCTAAAGAATTAAAAAGATTTCTGAGCGTAATGTGTCTTTAACCCTTACTACGCTAACATCCTAACCACGCTATCTTAAATGGACTTGTCCGTCTGTCTGTCTGGGTGAAACCATTCATCATCATAGGGAAAATTTCAAAGTATGCATTGATTGAATTTGCAAACGTTGTAGACCTTAAGTAATTCTATAGATAAACGTTGATTTTTTGTAAGAAAAAAATGTTTGAAATATTTTGAAACAAATAAACTGGAAATAATATACTAAATTTTTCATTGGCAAGATTGTTTTACCAGTTTACCTACAACGCCATGTTTGTTCTCGAAATCGTGAATTTTACCTACTCAGTACAGTACTGGTTTTCCAGCGGCTAAAATTAGAAACCGTATCGCTTTCAAAATTGTGAGAGCTTGCCGATGATTGGCTGTGTGAGAGGTCATGAGAAGGTGACCCCCTATTGGTGTCCGTCAGATCCTAATGCATAGCGTCAATAAAGAGCTGATTTTAATCAGATTGGTACATAGGGGGTATCTGAGGTATTCCAGTATTTAGACCACACCAAACAGAGCATGCCAACGTAGGTGTATTTACGTAAGACTGGTGCAAAACTTCCAGATTTAGAATTACAATGTATAAAACGTAATTACAGTGATTTTTTTTATGAGATTTCCACAAAAAAAAATAATACACACAGTCTAACAGTAAACAATGTCTATATGAGATCAGAGATAAATCAGTGACATCAATTTGTAATTCATTCATACTTGGCATGCATGCAATTTCAAAGTTCAAAAAGAAGACAAAAACCTGTCAAGTCCTTTAATTGAACATGATTTCAATATGATTTTTATTCAGACTTTACTGTCATGTTTTAATACTGTCCGTAAAATGTTACAACATTTTTTCAGAGTTAGACAACAATTTTTTTTCACTCGTCACCCTACTATACAGCAGGTATCACCGAAAGTAGTCCCCGCGAATTTTTCTTTTAGCATCGAAAGGAACCGGTTCACAGACTCGGAGGAAATAGTCCCCCTAGACATTGCAGTTTGTAATTGATTTAACCATTTATTAAGCGATTCTTGTGTCACCTGACCTCTTCTAATGTTATTCATAATATTTTGAAAGATCCCAGAACTGCTTGAACGAGCGGCAAAGTCGTCTGTCAACAGCGGAGTAATTTCACCATTTTCACGTTCAGCGTTCTCTCCGGTGTGAATTTCTTCTGTTTCTTTGGAGTTTTTTGGAATACCTTGTCCTTCTGATTCATCATTTTCAGCTGTAAAGACACAATGCATATATAGGATCAATGTTGCCTTTGCATGTTTCGATATAAACCTAAAATGAAAAAAAATACACGCAAAAAGTAACAATCGCGATTTAAAATATAGTCATTTTTTGCTCGCTCTTTTTTTTTTTTTAATTTATCGGTATCTATTTCCTTCCAACATATTTCAAAATATTTTTTCTTATTATATTTAAATATTTAGTAATATAAAGAACAAATATACGTATTTTCTTTTTTTCCCCACAAACTACACAATTTGTTATAAAATGTAATCCATATAGATATAAAATTCTTATTTTCAAATTGAGACAACTCACCGGCGACGTTTTGTACATGTACATTAATTTTTCCAGTAGGAATCGTTGCTGCCGTATTTATATAAACCGTAAACAACAACAACAATATTGTAGTTTGAAATCGCTTCATTTTTTTCACAAAAATAAAATATTGTACAATTTCTTCTTTTTCTTTTCTTCACATGAATATGTCTGTCCGCTATATAAGACCGATAGATTCTATGTTAAAATGCATTTGGTGACTCAAATATTCGCTTTATCTAAATTGTATCAGAAGTTTCCAAAAATAGATCCATTATCTGTGTCATGTAAACATGGAATTAAATTAAAGCGGTTCGGTCTGTTCACCTTTGCATGTGAAAATCTGAATATTTTTCGTGCTACTCTGAAAATCGGTAGAAATGTTGGCAATCGGAACGTCGTCGGCTATTATCTATAATAACCTTATAAAGGACCAAAAAGTTGCGATTGTAAATATAGGCAGGGCACCAGCGGAACTTTCTGTGTTGTTTCGTTCCAATTCGGGATATGCATTAAAAGAATAATTTTGTGCAAGTTCCCGGAAGAACGTACATGTCTGACTCTCTTCTAAAAATGTTCAATCAAAATTAAATAATTATGTTATTTTGGTTCAGAGTATCGTCTGCTTGAATAAATTAAAAGAACGTTTGCTCATTAGGGGAAACATGTAATTCATACGAAATTTCTCCCCGGCACGTGATCTCGGACATGTGAGTCTTATGATTCATTCACTGCTGAGATATCACGTGGACTTGGTAACCGATCACGTGCAGGTAAATTGATTTGGAGACCGCGCCGAAGCGCGGCGCTCTTATGGAATGAGATCAGATTTTGTGAAAGGGCGACAGCAACTTCTCGAGCCTTTTAGTCGGTCATAATAAAAGCCGAAAATTCCGATCGGTATGAGGGTGCTTGATTATTAAATAAGAATGAAATGTCGCGATATGTTACAATGAATTTTCGCAATGCAAACATTTACAAATGAAATAACCTTTTCCGTCAATAAATCGCGCTCTTCGGGGTTTTTTATTTATCATTTTGTAGTACACAGTCGGTTATCATGTCATGGTATGTTATTGTTGTACATGTATCCTAGAATGATCAGTTGATGACCTAAATATTCCAAAAACCTATTTATAGATATATCTTTTTATCACTCCTATCGGTAAATGCCGGTCTCTCCCGGTCTATTTTGACCAGGATTTACTAGTGACCGGCGAATAGTACCACACGTTTATTGTCCGGTCTCTCCCGATTTTGGAGTAGATGTTTGATATCGTTACAATTGGAAAAAAACAACAATAGCATGTTTCATTTTATCTATATGAGATAAAAACAATAAATATGTACACGGATTTATATGTAATATAAATCCGTGATATGTACAATAATTGAGAAAAAGGTACATTTTTTATGGTATTAAAATGACATTATCAACTTTGAAACATTTTATTTAATTATTCAATTTGTTATCCGTGTTTAGTAAAGATGCCGAGGAATTATTCAAAGTTACAAATTAGATTTTATGAATTATTCAATTGATCGATAATTTAAAAAATGATAAAGAAAAATACAATGTACATGTACATGGTTTAAGAATAAACAATATTATATATTGAAAGATAAACCATAATTTACTGACTTTTTCCAGTTAAGCTTTTACTTATAATCGTCGGTCAATATGACAATTGAATTCTTAAAATTTATTTTACAATTTTAATAAAAAAGAGTAGTAAAAACTCAGTATCAAAATAGCACATAAAACACAAAAAAGAATAAAAGAAAACAATATTCATAAAATTTGTATTTTTTTTAAAATTAAAATTAATAGATATTACAATTATTGTATAATAAACAATTATGCTCATCATGATCAACATGGTAATATAACCAGTGTCATATTTTTACTAACTTAAAGTGTGAACAGATACCTTAAGGGGGTCTTCGCTAATAGCGATAACATGTACATAATAAGGGACAAATGTGTGGTACGTGTTGATCATGCGTTACACATATGGATTATAAATGATTGCATACATGTATATCCGTTGCTATTAATAACCACGATCATAAAGAAATAACAAGTAATATTCTAATCTCTAGCATGCCAATCAAAGTTCATAATGAACAATGTCTTTCGTCCGCTCATTCATAAGTGGTATACATTTCTGGTAGTTTATAAGAATATCTTGTCATCATATGTGTACTAGTTCATCTTCACTTGCTGCATTTCTTGCTTGGACGCCCTTTGATGCTTTGCATCAATGCTTTTCTTGTTATTTCTGGTGTGGAATTACAGTCGAGATATGATACAAATATGCGTTTTAAACCCGTGTAATAACCAGACAAACAATACAAACAGATTAAGATCAGACCTAAATATGTTTATGTCTAAAAAGAAAAAAATAGGATTGCAGAGTACTAAATTTTGTAGTGTAGCTGAGTTAATTTCATGTCATTGAGATGAATGAAAGCGTTAGAATTTAATAAAAAAAAATATTCTTGAATTACAGGTGCTCGTTTTCTCCCACAGTTTTATGTCCGTCTGTTTCAGGCTTACAACCATTTAAATTGGGCATTATTCCTGTATTGGAAGAAAAACAAGCAATTATCATAGTATTGCAAGCAATCCATAAGTCCCCTACCGGTTAGAACCCCATCAACATTCTGAAGGGCCATTGTCCATTCACTAATGTTTCAATTTTTCTCTATTTTAAGTAAATTTGTTGGAAATGTTCTTTAAAAGTGATCACAGGAAACAGTTTTTATGAACAGACAAACGGACTGAAGGACACTCTAAAGTTAATATTTGAAACATCCCTGTTACCAAAATATAACATTTTTAAAAGCAAAATTCTTAAAGAGGAGATAACTCTAGAATTAAAGATGCAATTTCATAAAATTTTCCAGCTCTTTTTGACTAATCACAAATATTGTTATATTTGCCATGTTTTAAGCCTATTTGTTGCCAAGGCAACCAATATTTTTTTTTTAAAATAGGAAGAACAGATAAGACATGCATAATCTCCAGACTGCCATCTACCCATATTTCAAGTTATAATCTCCATACTGCCATCTATCCAGTTTCATAAAAATATATTCAGTACTTTTCAAGTTATCGTGGGATCCAGTTTTGTGGACGGACAAAATAGGAAGAACAGATAAGACATGCATTATCTCCAGACTGCCATCTACCCATATGTCAAGTTTCATAAAAATATTTCCAGTACTTTTTGAGTTATCACTGGATTCAGTTTATGTGTAAAATATGCCATATTTTCAGTATATGTGTTGCCATAGCAACCAGAATTTTCAACATAGGAAGAAAAGAAAAAGACGTGCATAATCTCCAGATAGCCATCTACCCATATTACAAGTTTCATAAAAATATTTCTATTACTTTTTGCGTTAACACTGGATCCAGTTTATGTGTAAAATTTGCCATATTTTCAGTCTACTTGTTGCCATAGCAACCAGAATTTTCAACATAGGAAGAAAAGAAAAAGACGTGCATAATCTCCAGACTGCCATCTACCCATATATTACAAGTTTCATAAAAATATTTCTATTACTTTTTGCGTTAACACTGGATCCAGTTTATGTGTAAAATTTGCCATATTTTCAGTCTATTTGTGCCATAGCAACCAGAATTTTCAACATAGGAAGAAAAGAAAAAGACGTGCATAATCTCCAGACTGCCATCTACCCATATTTCAAGTTTCATAAAAATATTTCCAGTACTTTTTGCGTTATCACTGGATCCAGTTTATGTGTAGCATTTGCCATATTTTCAACCTATTTGTTGCCATAGCAACCAGAATTTTCAACATAGGAAGAAAAGAAAAAGACGTGCATAATCTCCATACTGCCATCTATCCATATATCAAGTTTCATAAAAATATATTCAGTACTTTTCAAGTTATCACGGGATCCAGTTTTGTGGACGGACGGACTGACAGACAGACGGTAAACCGGTAGGGGACTAATAACAGAAACTTTAAAAACATTTACAACAGCCCTTTATATAGATATTATTTCTATGTTTGGTTTTACCTCACACCAACACAGTATAGATCATATGGCGACTTTACAGATTTACTGATGGAGGAAAACCTCAGGTGCCCTTCAAAGCATAATTTAAGGCACGAACGGGCATCTGTGTAGAACCACCGACGTTCCGTAAGCTTACGGGATTCGAACACACAACGGTGAGGGCCAAGTGGTTTTAAGTCAATGACTTGCCCATCACCGCTGTGGGTTCGAATCCCTAAAGTACTTTGGATTCAATCATGCCAGAAAGCTATTTATTACATGCTTTTCGGTAGTTTATAGAAATATATCAGTGAATTAAAACTGATAATTTCACTGTTTTGAATTTAAGCCCCTAATGTTGTTTCAGTGAAATACCAGCGTGCACAGTACTGGGTACCAACTTAATGACGTGACGTCGTAAATGAAGTCACGTTGTTTTATTATTTGGCGCGCTTTTCATTCAATATTAGGTTTAATGTCTTTTTAAAACGTTTATTTGCATATAATAAAAAGAAAATGTGTTTAGTTTAGTGTAAGATCATAATATATTTTACCTTGTGAACACAAAAAGTTCATATTTCACTCGTGGCTGCGCCACTCGTGAAATATACGTTTTGGTGCTCACTCGGTGAAATATTTTTCGATCTTACACTGAACAAATATCCTCTATTTAACCAGCATACGGAACGTCGGTGTGTTATACAAATATCAAGATTATCCAACAGACTATCCAATAAAAATCGGCCATACAAGTTGACATTACATGTATTATAATAAAGAAAATATATGGAGTGCTATTCATGACTGACTTTGTGAGCTATGTTGAAAAAAAAAACTAAAACAAAAATATAACAAGATCAATTCAAGAACAAAATTTATTTAACAGTCCAGCTGTTTTATAAGCACAATACAATACATTCCCTCATATTATCATACACATATTTAAAATTTATTGCAAAATTTGTGTCCCCCTAAATACATAGTATACAAAATTATCCTCAGATTTACCTCATCACATCATACTTTAAAGGGACTCTACTGAAGTATTTTGACACAACAAGAAATATTTTTTTCAGATTATCTTCCTTTTGATTTACTTCTAAACCAATAACTTGAGTACAAAATTTCAGATCGTCTGCTCACTCCGTTTTTACTCTATTTGTGTAAAATGGCCCAAAATTGAATAGCAGTAATACATCTTTTCTTCAAAATTGGGCTATAGTTGCATAAAGGTACGATTTTCAATTTATTTCTTAATAAGCTTTTCTAAAGTGCCTTTCAGAAATTCAAATTTTATGTTTTT